CTAACTGCTCTCATACCATGTTGGGCTGAGTGCCCCTTAGGATCTTTGGTAGGATGAAACTCTAGGTAAAGTGATGTAATAGCGAAAGCGTTTAATGATAAGATTCTGAACCACCTTGCGCTGGTATGTGAGGGCAAAGTAAGTTGATTAAAGCAAACAAGTACAAAGGTTTATATAATAGTACCGTACAAGGAATATGAAGAGATACGAGTGATAACTGTTTTACTGTTGGCTGTTGCGGTTCGATACAGTGCGACTCGGGCAACTGCTCAATATCGAGTCAGTTGTGTGTCCTTGCTGTCGCGCTGCATTTGTCAAGTCAAAGGTCGCTGACCTTTGACCTTCGCGTAACCTCCAGCTGTTACTTTCAACCTCCCCGAGGGTTGACTCGCTGGTGCCTCGATGTAATCTGCTTCGCTTGTGCCTTGGTGTTTTGACACGATAGAAGCGCTTTAGGACCGATTGTTTCCAACAGATCCGAGGGATGACATCTACCGACATCCATCGACATCTATTGACATTTCACTTCGGACACGCCCTTAGTCAGATTATCGGTGCCGCCAACACCTCACTCTGAAACATCGCTGTGAGGGGGGAAACGTGGGCGACGCGGAAATGCAAGTACAAAAGGCGTAACAAAAACCTATTAAGGTCATGGTACACCAAACTTAACTAACATCAGAGTAGAGAAAAATATTACTCTGGCGTGCCTGGGTTTTTTTTTGGAAGTATAGGGTTACTCTGACAAATCAGAGTAATGCACAGGAACAACCCTAGATTTCAGAGTTGGGAAAAAAACTACTCTGGAAATCAGAGTACCGTACCTAAAATCCATAAGTAGGCCCTGTTCCACACCACAGCACTGGAGTACACCAACAGTCCCATCTAGTATGTTAACATCAGTTCTAAAGGAGTACAATATCTTTCCATCGTTAATTGAATCATCTGCTTTCATAATAAGCAATCAATCTACTGCTGGATGAATCAATCCAATGCTGTATGCATCCATCTACAGCAGACAATCAATACCCGTCACCAGAATCTCCAGGAGAGTGTACTACAAGCTGGTTCTGGGATTCAGGAGTTGTCTTCAGGAAGTGAGGAGACAAGAGCTTTGTCATCAAGAAACCAACGAAGTTATCCACCCCAAACATCTCTTTCATGGGCTCATCACACAAAATATTCCTCTTGTTTGATGGATCCTGCAACACGTTATGACATGACGTTAGTTGTCACTCAGACGCTACCTGGACGCCAACGCCACTTGAGAATGCTGAACATACCTGAAGGTCATGCTCCTTTATATAAGCCCAGACGCGTTTGACCACCTCCGATCTTGGCAGCTCTGTCTCTTCACAACTCAGAAATTTGATCAACTGCGGTGACATGGGAAGCGGCTGAGCAAAAGCTCCCCTGGAACCCCCCGCACCCGGTTCAGCCTTGGGCTTCTTTGGTTGAGGCATTTCTCCTGCACAAATGGTCCATTCACAAGTTCCAAAATAGTGCTGGGTTACTGAAGGACAAACAGAAAGGAACGAAATAGAGCAACGGGAATTTTGCTAAAAGAGTTACCATTTGGACCAGGAAGCGACTTGATGTGACTCGTTAACAACTTGTTCAGCTGAAACATGTCAGTAACCTCTGTTCCCAACAAATGGCCTAGAGGACCATCGCAGCGAATGACTCTTTTATTTGCCGGATCTTGAAGATCATGTGCTCTGATGTAATTCCAGATTCCCTTAACCACCTGCCACAAGGAAGACAATGTTAAATTAGGTCATTCGATCACGAGGAAAAAAAAAAAGAGGGACGCATGAACTTACGTCTGTTCTTGGCATTTCTTTAGCTCCTAGAAGTGCCGCCAACTCATCAGAAAGCCCGCATACTTTCATCAAACCACCACCTGTGCGCTTCTTCGGCTCCTTTCTGCAGCAATTCACTAACCATCGTCAGAATGTTGAACCGCACATCAACGCGGAACTAGCGAAAAAAAAAAAACCACAAGAACAACAACAACAACAACAAAAGGCGTACCCGTCCTTCGTGACCTTTGCGGCCTTCCGTTTTCTAGAAGGCTTTTGAGGTTCTTCATGGTGAGGCGGCTCCTCTTCTTGACCAGCGTCCTCTTCGTACGCAGGTCTCTCGTTCAAATAGGTTTGAACTTCTTGTCGAATAAACTTCTTTCGTTCTGATAAGTCGATGTTATACTCTTCTTCTAATTGCATGCGTATACTCTTCTCTGTCGTGACATCGAGGTCCGCCTCGTTTAATATCTCACGTAGTCTACGAACAATTTCCGCGTCAGAGACCATACTGAAGAATTATTGGGAACTCCCTATCCTGGTTGACTAACGAAGTGACGAAACAAAGACGATCGAACTGAGGAACTCTTGATGGAAATGGTCAGACAATGCTCGACTATCTGAAAGATATGGCGGTGCAAACACGATGGAACCAATAGAACCTCTGAAGCTTGGAACCCCATCTTGGTGAGGGTTTCAGCAGATGTGGATGGTCCCCTAGGGTAGGAGGAAGCTGGTGGTGTGGTGTGGTGTAATGAGGGTCTGGTTGGTGCCAGATATGCCGCGCGAGCGCGGAAATCCGGAAACCAGACCCCCGGCGGATGCCTAATCCTCGGCGGCTGTGACTTGGTCAGCAGCAGTGACAGGTGGGCTGACCCCATCCTCTCTGCATTCGTGTCTCTCACATCACGGAAGTTACGATTCATGCTCCACCGTGAGTGGCACATCCTGTAAAAAAAAGGGAGGGGGGAAAAGGTTGGGGTTTCGTTCTGGGGTGTCTGTCTGTCGTCCAACAGCAATTGGGCGACCGTCGATTTCGTTCTCTCACACCCTTCTCGAGACTGCCTGACTGATTGCATCCTGGTCAAATGATAGAAGTGCCCCAAAGGACTCAGACTGGCGGGGGGGGGAGCCAAGGAAACAAACGAGACAGGCTGGTGGAGGGAGGGACCCTTTCGGAGTCAGCGATAATGCTTTTCGGGGGGAGCTGGTGAGACTAGCGGAGGAAAGCTTGGGGAAGGCGGAGGGAAGAGCAGAACTGCGGAAAGAAGCGGGAGAGAGCGAGAGAACCTCGGAGTCACCGAATGGCACGCCTAACTCGCGGGAAGGATTCACATGCCGTGAGGGCAGACCCTCGCCCCGGAAACAGCAGAGCATCCTTCTTGAGGGGCAGACCGTTGGGGGGAATCAGAAAGTGCAGAGCGTCTCTTCCTTGGGATAGTCCTGTGAAACAAACGGCCACTGCGGGAAGCGGACGGCTGGACAGACACTGCGAAACCAAACCAGTCACAACGAAGAAACACCTTGGTGGAACCGCCACATGATCTTCCCTCCACTCCACCTGGCTCCCGCTCCGCCAATGTCTCCGCTGAAGCAGAGGTTCCGCCAAGCACGTCACTCCGCCGCATGAACCTGATCCCTTGCACCGCAAGCTGGTTCGCGAAGCCTGTGGATAATATCAGAAAGAACGTATCCGCTTTAAAAGACGTGTTCCTCTACCGATATGAGTGATCACCTCGCAATGGTAAGGTTAGAAATAAGATCACAACAACCTTATTAACAATGACAGGAACACAACTTATCATCTGGTGAGTTTCATGATTAGCAAATGCAGACAAAAAACTTAATTATAGGATAAATTTTGATAGTAATATATATATACAACACAAAAGCATATAGGAAACTTCTTTAATAGTGTAGACCTGAGTACGGTATGTACATTGTGATGAAAATTCCTTTTCCTTACTTCGCATTCCCGTTCAGCGCGTACACCACTGTAGCACCACAGTCAGCACCGTTACCACTAACATCGACAAGCCTCCCGCCACCTTCGCACGTCGCACCCTGAACTCACGACTCGGCGGGTAACCCGCGCTCCGGGCCTCCACTTCGACATTTCCCCAAACCTCAGTCCCAGGCCCGTCGCGCGGCAACCACAGTCCATTAACCGTTACCACTGTAGTTCCACTACCGTATATATTCTTCGCTCATGCCTTCGCTCATTGTACTCTTGCCTCGATAGTGCAATTCTCGCTCGCTCACTCAATTGCACTCGTAACATACATCAAGATGCGAGTCTATATGAGAATCTATAAGAAGCCTTATGGTTTTGAGTGCACACATAGTGCAAAGATCAATGGGTCATTAGTTAGGCATTAAGATGTACCATGCACTCTAGATCAATGTTAGATTAAAACACCTTGTTGAATATTGAGATGGCGTAAAGCAATAGCGAGTTGGTCCAGCTAAAACAGTTGCAACTAGTGATGTGGTTTAGGAGTCGCATAACCTAGGACACTAAGATCTGCTCTTCCCGTGCTTGTCATGCCAGCTCTAACGTTCCGCCACCCGCCACGCTGCCATACATCCAGGTTCGACGATTTGTCGCTCCGAGCCTGTCACACAGGAATCCTACTGGTCGTCTTTTCAACCTTCCAGTTCCAATCGCTAGCCTGCCCGCGTAGCTTCCTCTCACAATGGGACAATCTTCAACCCCTCCATTCCAGCGCGTCGCCAGTTTTCTCACAGAAACCACCGAATTCACTCTTGAGTCAACTCAAAAGTCATCTCGACTCAGAAGTCAACGCGTCGCCAGTCGTCTCACAGGAACCACCGAAATCAGACTCTCAAGAGAGATTTATTCCGAATTCGGAAGCACGCAAAGGAAGATTCCTGGAATCAGAGCAGCGGCTCCATGGACGGCGAAAGCTGTCGCTTTTGAGCAAGCCGCCTCCGCTTCCGCTCATGGAGGATCAGTTCACGAGCAGAAAGCTAGAAACGAGTGACTTCTATCGCGGATGGGTCAATACCTCGAGTTTGAATGATCAAGACAGCAGCAACAGCAGCGGCATTAGCACAAGTCCTGGCAGCAGTATAACTAGCGACAGCAGCAGCAGCGGTGGTGGTGGGAGCAGTTCGGGAGTACCGAGCCAAGGCACAAGCTGCCGCTGCTATCGCGTGGCGAATCGTTTCTGCTGCATGCAGGTGGGTCATACATACATGCTAAGGTCACATAAATCTCTGTTGGGTGTTAATATGTGCATATGGGTGTGTCAATATCTGCAGATGGGTGTGTTAATATCTGCATGTGGGAGTGCTAGTATCTGCAGGTGCGTGTGTTAATCTCTGCAGGTGCGTGTATTAATCTCTGCAGGTGCGTGTGTTAATCTCTGCAGGTGCGTGTGTTAAACCCTTCTCTGCTGGAACGGCACCCAGCTGGTCGTTCTTAGGCCCTCTTGCACCCCATCAGCTCAAAGTTCAAGCCTCACTCTTTCCTTCCCCCTCCCCACCCCCCTCCCCTCCCCCTTCCCCGTTCCTCCTGTCGCTCTCTGCAGGTGCTCTGCGTGTGTCGCCTGCTCTGCTGGAACGGCACCCAGCTGGTCGTTATCAGGTCCCCTTCCCCCCCACCCACCCACCTCCTCAAGGTTCAATTCTCAGTCTCTCGCCGTCTGCCCTCCCTTTGCTCTCTGCAGGTGCTCTGCGTCTGTCGCCTGCTCTGCTGGAACGGCACCCAGCTGGTCGTTCTTAGGCCCGCTTGCATTGCACCTTCAAGCCTCACTCTTTCCTTCCAACTCCCCCCTTCCTCCTTCCCCTGTTTCTCTCTGCAGGTGCTCTGCGTCTGTCGCCTGCTCTGCTGGAACAGCACCCAGTTGGTCGTTATCAGGCCCCCTTGCGTCCCATCAGCTCAAAGTTCAAGCCTCACTCTTTCGTTTCCCTCCCTCCCTCCTCCCCCCCCCCCACCCCTCCCCGTCTTCCTTCCCCTGTTGATCTATGCAGGTGCTCTGCGTCTGTCGCCTTCTCTGTTGGAACGGCACCCAGTTGGTCGTTATCAGGCCACCCCCCACGCCAGCAGCACAAACCCCACCTTCTTCTCCTGCTGGTGCTGCTGGTACTGGTGCCGCTGCTGGAGCTGCTGCTGCTGCTGGTGCTGCTGCTGCCAATGCTGCTGCTGGTAACCCTGTTACTGGCAACGCCAGAGCTGTGTTAAGCAGTAGCAACGGTACCAATGGCACTGGCAGCGGTTCAAGTGGTAAGAACAAAACGCTACCAGTTGATATAAATGTTGATGGTACTAGTAATACCAGGCGTAGACTGAAGCGTGAGTTTGCCACAGATTGGTTCTGTGACCAATCGCAGCCCGCCAACTCAGCAGCCGCACGGAACGAAACCCTAACCGACGGCCCCTTGACTGCACTGGCCTGTGGTATATACCCCTTTAACGACGATCCGTTTGATATGATAGTGAAGCAGTCGCACTACAAGCAGTGGGGGGAGCGGCCTATGGAGTGGCTCCAGGAGCGGGTAGACAGAGCCTGGTGGCGTCCAGGTTCGACGTATCTGCAGCTGCTTGACGGTTCATCCAATAACGTGGCTCATTTTCTGGGCAAGGTGCTTCAGATATTGCTGGTGAATGGAGCTGGGAAGAGAAGTGGGGAGGGGGAGAGGGGCAGTTTCGAAGAGAAAGGGAGTTTGTGGGGGGAAGAGCAGAGAAGATTGGGATTAGGTTGTCCAAGGGATGCAACGAGTAGCAGTGGTTTCAGCACGGCAAGCAGAAGCAGTATCGGCACTGGTTCCTCCAGTAGTGTCCCTGGCCCCACTAACAGCAGCACTGACAGCATCGCTGATAGAACGCATACAACAGCGCACCGAAAGCTCGCAGAAGTGATCAAGGAAACCCAAACAGACCCCTCCCCAAGAACCCCATCCCCTCATGCCCCACGGAATTCTTCCTCCGCTTTCTCCACCTCCCTCCAAAACACCACCTCCTCTCTTCCCTTCCTCCCTCACGTTGACCGTTTTCTCCTCCCCCGCCACTTCTATTTCCTCCGGATAGTCCAATCCTTCGGTCCGGAAGGTCTCCATGCCTCCCTGCTGCAGCACCTGCTCGCCGCCGCCCTCCTCCCGGACCTGATGGAGGATGCACGAACCTGTGGGCCAGGCTCGGTGAGTCCGGGTGCTGGCCCGGGGTCTGCTTCGGCAGCGGGATCTGGTGTGGGTGGAGCAGCGGCAGGTTCGGAGGGGTTCAGTGTGGCGACGGGAGGGGAGGAGGGACGGGGAGGTGAGAGAGAGGGAGCGGGAGGAGGAGGCGGAGAAGAAGGGCCGAGAGACAACAGCAGAATGGGAGAAGCGAGGGAGCGGGGCGAGTGGGAGAAAGAAGTAATTGAACAACTGCTAAACCGCAGCTTGTTACTGGACATCAACACGACCAGCCTGGTCGGGGGCAGGGTGGAGTTTGAGCACGTGTGGGACAAGGCAACTGAAGCACAACCTCTGTGCTTCGAGAACGTGGTGCTGCCGGGGAATCTCGCTGCTATTCTGTACCCGGGCGGGCAGGAGGTGCAGGCTGCGTTTCTGGAGAGGATTGACTGGTGGTTGGGGAAAGGGGACGTGGGGAAGGTGGGAGGGGAGGCGGGAGAGGAGGGACGGAGAGGGGTGGTTGAAGGGAAGGGAGAGCAGGCAAGAGAAGGGCACGGGGAGGAGGGAAAAGGGGAGGGACAGGTGGGGAGGTTGGGGCGAGGGGGATGGAGTGCTTGGGATAGGGGAAGGACGGGAGCAGGAGTGAGCCTGGGGCTGCAGCCAGCAGGGAATGAGAAGATCCGCCTGCTGTATCTGCAGCGAACTGCTTCGGCCAATCAGGGGCGGCGTGCATTGGACCACACGTCCCATGTGGCGCTGGTGAACCTCTTTTCCCGCCTGAATTTCGACGTGCGGGCGGCAGATCTCGGGCGGCTGGGCTTTAAGGAGCAGTATGCGGCGGTGCGGAGTGCCGATGTCATTGTGGCGGTGCATGGGGCGGCCCTGGCGCCCACCTGTGCGTTCCTGAGGGGGGTGCCCCCTGTTGTGCTGTTGGGGGATGAAACAGGTGCTTTGAATGGAAGCAGCCTTGGCAGCAGCAGCACCACCACCACCACCACCGTCACCAGCAACAGCGTTGATACCAGCAGCACCAGCTTGTTGCAGACCTCAGAAGTTCCACTCTCAAAACCTCTGCCAGGCTCAGTGGTGGTGGAGATAGTCCCGTTTGGCACGCAGCCTACTCTTTATCAAACCATGGCTGTGGCAAGTGGAGCGACGTACATTCAGCACCAATGCCATGCCGCTCGAACGTTCCCCCGGGACGAGGAATTCAAACTTTTGACTGCCCGGGATTGCGACCGGAACGCGAGTTGTAAGAATTATCGCATTCACGAGCGTCCGGTCGAGCTTTCCCAATTAGACTTGAAGGAAATCGGTCATGCGCTGAAGCTGGCACGAGAAATTGCTGGGAAAGCGAGGGGCGGTGTGGTTGAGGCAGCGGAGGGATTAAGGGAGAGGGTGAAGGAAGGATTATGTAGGTATGGTAGGAAATTGTTGCTCGCCGGTTTTTGCCATCAAGGGTTTGTGCAGTCTCCGTTGTTGGGGGATGATAAAGAGGTGTGTGTTTTTCATAGGCAGTGCGGTAATGGTACTTGGCCTGCCCCTGGGGAGCCTTAGGAGAACGGATAGATAGACGGAATTTGATGTATTCACACATCTTTGTATTGTAGCTAGCTGCTGTACTTATGGGATTGTGTATGTAGCTAGCTCAGGGTGGATCACAAAGTCACCACACAGTCCGAGCACAAGAGCAGGGCCAGAGGCCAGTTCACATGGAGGAGTACAGACATATATTTAAAACTAGACAAGCAAGAGCAGGTATATATATATGTCACAGTACAAGTGAAGTCAAGAGGAGAGCAAGTGAGGCAAGACAGGCACAAGACCCAGCTGGGTGCAAAAGCGCTGATGGTCACAAGGCGCGAGTGCCTTGGTGAACACATCAGCAGTGTTGGCCTCAGAGGCCACGTACGCAAGTCGCAACTGACCACGCTGCTGCAGCTCACGAGCAAGGAAGTAGCGGAGAGCAATGTGTTTCGTTCTGTGCTCCAAGCGCTGCTCTCGACACAAGGCCAGCATGGCCTTGTTGTCTACGTACAGCACTGGAGGAGAACGAGGCGGCTCTCCAAGGTCAGTCAGCAGGTAGGTGAGCCAGCGAAGCTCCTGTGCAGCCATGGCCCCGGCGTAGATCTCAGCCTCACAACTGGAGCCGAGAACCGAAGACAAGCGAGTAGACCGCCACGAGACAGAGCCGGAACCAAGGCTGAAGGTGTAACCCTGTGACAACCGCTGCGTAGCCTGGTCGTCAGCCCAAGAAGCGTCCGCGTGGCCGGTAAGGACCACTGGACTCCGCCCTCCAAGCACTAGCCCCATGCCTGACGTACTGCACAGGTAGTGCAATACCCTCTTCGCTGCAGCCATGTGCTCTGGTCTGTGTCTCCCAGGAGCAACATAGCGTGCAAGAATGCTCAGAGGGTATGCAAGGTCAGGTCGTGTGCAGGTCATCAGGTACATGAGGCAGCCAACAAGCTCTGCATACGGGCCACTCGACTCTACGGACTCATCCGAAGGCAGAGCTGAGAGTGAGTGGCGAGTAGGCAGAGGAGTGGCCTGAGGCGAGGAGTACGTGAAGCCGAAGCGCTGAAGGACCTGCTGCACCATGTGTGACTGAGTCAAGGTAATGGTGCGGCGTGCTCTGTCCCGAGTGATCTGCAAGCCAAGGTAGCTGCGCAGTTCACCCAGGTCTGTGCACGTGTGTCTCTTCAGCAGCTCGGACTTCACGTAGGCGAGTCCAGCAGTGTCCGCTGTGGCAAAGACCAAGTCGTCAACGTACACGAGGATGTAGAACGGCGGCAGGGAAGTGTCGGTGCGAAGAAACAGCGACGGGTCAGCAGTAGAAGGAGCAAACCCAAGGGCCGCAAGCGTAGTCCTCAGTGTGTCGTGCCACTCACGCGGTGCCTGGCGGAGACCGTAGATTGGCCGTCGGAGGCTCCACTGGGTGCCAGGAGGGAAAGTCCCAGTGAAGCCAGGTGGACGGCGAAGCCAGATCTCCTCGTGCAGGCTACCCTGCAAGAACGCAGTGCTGAAGTCGAGAGAGTGAAGCTCGTAGTCGCGCTGAGCGGCTATGTGCAGCAGCACCCGAAGAGTAGTCATCTTCGGGGTGGGAGAGAAGGTCTGAAAGTAGTCAACTCCCTGCCGCTGACTGAAGCCAGGAGCGACGTACCGTGCCTTGAAGACAGGTGGAGAGCCCGGCGGCCGCTTCACCCTGAAGATCCACATGCCACTGACGATGTTCGCCCCGGGAGGGGGAACCGCGTCAACGTAGGTGCCTGTGGACTTCCAGGAAGCCATCTCTGCATCCATAGCTGCCTGCCACTGAGAGGAGTAGGGACCCTCTACGGCCTCCGCGTAAGAACGCGGAGTCGGGATGTCTAGTGCATCCGGGTCTCCCTCAGGGGCAAGCAGTACAGACGCGAGATGAGGTGAAGCAGCCGCTAGACACTGTAACTCCTCCTGCCTGTCCTCAAGGACGTCCGTGCCAAGAGCACACTCACCCCCGACGGACGGAGGACAGAAAGACGCAGACTCAGCAACAAGACTAGCAGCGTAGTCGAGACGACAGCGAGCAGCAAAGTCGACGAGCTCAGCGACTAGAGCAGACGCAGCAGTGGACTCAAAAGAGGGGTCAGTGACGACAGTAGCAAGCAGACGCGTGACAGTAGGACTGGCAGCACGAAGAGAGTCCGACTCAGGGTCGTCAAGTGCAGGAAGAGAGGACTCAGGAGGAGAAGGCAAAGGGGCACGCAGAGGAGCAGTGGATGGACGCAGAGACATCCGGTGCGTGCCAGGGACAGGAGGAGGACGCTGACGCGAACTGCGACCACTAGCGCGAGCAGCACGAACAGGCGACGCGGGACGAGACGCAGGCTCACGGCGCTCAGCAAGACCTCCAGTAGGACCAGTGTAAGGAGAGGGAGCAGGCAGTGGAGAGGAAGGCTCCAGTAGGGACTGCGACTGGACAGGCGGTGGACCCTCTACCGGAGGAGAAAGACCAAGAACCTGCTGCAGGAGCGGAACGAAGTACGGCCGAGGCCGCGCGGCAGCTCCAGACTCAGCAGGGACAGCACCAGCACCCTCAGCGACAGCACCAGCGCCACCCACACCTCCAGCGGCAGGACCAACAGCAGTAGGCGCAGCACCAACGCCCTCAGCAGCTCCGGCTCCAGGAGGACCCGCAGGTCCAGCAGCTCCGGGACCGGCAGCACCCGCACCCTCGACGGTCGAAGAAGCTCCAGCTCCAGCTCCAGCAGCACCTCCAGACTCAGCAGCACGCCTCCAGCGGCGAGCGAACCACTCGCGCAGCTCCTGTGGAGAGAGGGGCTCCCGGTGAGACGCAGCAGTAGGAGAAACCCCAGGCTCAACAGCTCCAGACGCAGCACCCCCAGGCTCAGCAGCTCCCAGCTCAGCACCCCCAGGCTCAGCAGCTCCCAACCCACCACCCCCAGACCCAGCACCTCCAGGCACAGCACCCCCCGGCTCAGCACCCCCAGGCTCCGCACCCTCCGCAGTAGCACCCTCAGGCCCAGCACCCCCAGCAGTAGCACCCCCAGGCTCAGCACCCCCGCGCACAGCACCCCCAGAGTCAGCACCCCCAGGCTCAGCACCCGCAGCAGCACCAGAGTCACCAGTAACCTCGACCGGGTCAACGGCGTCTACCTGGGACACACCTGAAGGGGACGGACCCTGAGCGGGGAGGGGGTCTACCGGAGGGGGACCTGGTACAAGGAAGAGCGGCGGCGGGGGGAGGGACGGAGTGCGGTAGGGGAAGAGACGGTAGAAGGGGACTGACTCGTCGAACGTGACGTCCTGGGAGGACAGAACACGACGAGAGGAGGGGTGGTAAAACTGCCACCCTGGGGCGTCAGTGGGGAAGCCAAGGAAGACACAGGGGGCGGCACGAGGGGACAGCTTGTCCGCAGACAAGTCGCGGACAAACGCCCGAGATCCCCAGACACGGAACACAGACGCATCGCCAACCTTCCCCGTCCACAGCAAGGCTGGGGACATCGCAGGCCGAGAGACCCGGGGGTGAAGGTTGAGCTGATGCGCCGCGTACCTCACCGCAAACGGCCACAGAAAATGGGGGGCAGCCGCATGCATCATGGACGTACGAGCGACATCCATGACCATGCCAATGCGGCGCTCAGCAATCCCATTTTGCTGTGGTGAGTCCGGAAGCGTGAAGGTCTGGCAGATCCCCCGTGCACGACAGTAGTCTCGCAGAAGGCGAGAAGAGAACTCTCCGCCTCTGTCCGAGTGCAGACGCAGAACAGGGAAGTCAGAGCCGAAGCTCTTCCTGAGCTGGAGACGAGCCTCGCGGATCCAGTCGATCAGCACCTCAGTGACCGCACCCTTGCTGCGCAAGGGGAGGACTGTGGTGTAACGCGAGTAGTCGTCAACCACCAACAGGAAGTAGCGCTCGTGACCCTGCCCACGGACGGGGGCTGGGCCCCACACATCCATGTGAAGCGTCTGCAGGGGAGCCTCTGTCGGGGGGAAGTGGGAGGAGTGAGGAGTAGCCCGGAGGCGACCTTCGACACAGGGGACACAGGAAGGTCCAGGTCCGGAGGGGAGAGGAGGGAGAGACTGGGGAAGACCAGAGACAAGGACACGGGAAGCCATGCTCCGAAGACGGGGCAAGGAGGGGTGGCCAAGACGGTGGTGCCACAGGAGAGTCTTGTGAGACAGGAGGCGACAAGAACAGGGGGCAGACTCAGGACCTGACCGGGACGCAGCAGCAAGCACCTGACCTGACGCAGCCACCTGACCAGACGCAGGGACAGGAGGAGACTCAACGGTCAGGGTGTAGAGACTCGACCCCGGCCGACGCGAGAACGTGGCCAGGTGTCGGCCTGTGCGTGCCTCCGTGCAGTGGGTCACCCGCTGACTCGCAGGAGTGAACTGGTGAACCCCCACATCCTGCAGGTCCGCGCCACTCACCAAGTTCGTAGAGAACGAGGGAAGGTACAGACCAGATAGGGTGCCCGAAGGGGCAGCCGGACACGGGAGGACAGTGGAGAAGTGAGACAGGACAGGACCCCCAGAGGGGTCAGCAAGGGAGACTGCAACCGGCCGATCGAGCGGCGTAAGGGTAGTGCGGTCTCGAAAGAAGGAGCGAGAAGCCCCGGAGTCAAGTGTGAAAGTGAGGGAGGACGAGGACGACGCAGTACCTGAGAGCGCAGTCTCACCAGTACCTGAGAGCGCAGACGCACTGGCACCTAGAGCAGCAGCCTCACAAGCACCTAGCGCAGCAGTACCAATGCCCGGGTCGGGCTGGAAACACCGGTAACCCTCATTCTCCTCACTATAAGTCACAGCATACATAGCAGCAAGGATAGCATCAAAATCAAGATCAAAGATCGCTACACCAGCCCTAAGAAGCTCATCCCAGCGAGGGATCTCAGTAGCCCTTGGGAACTGCTGACGCGAAGCGTCCGTCAGGCGGCCAAAGCAGCGCTGGGCAGCGTGGGCACCCCCACACTGCTCACCCGCGCGGTCGCCGGAACGAAGAACGTAGGTGCAGGGACCAGTACCCCCACCCCTCTGACGCCCAGCGTACCACTCACGAAGCTGCTGAGGCGAAGGGATGTCCCGCGAGCGCTGCTGCTGCTGCCGCTGCGAGCGCTGGCCACCACCACCGCTGCTACGCTGCTGGGTACCACCCCGACCAGCTCCACCTCCTCCACCACCACCGCCTCCTCCGCTGCTGCCTCCACCGCCTCCACCTCCGCCGCCTCCACCTCCGCCGCTGCCTCCACCACCACCGCTGGCACCACTACCACCGTCTCCGCCGCTCCTGCCACCACCACCACCACCACCCCCGCCACTAGTCCCGCCGCCACCCCCACTCCCTCCGCCGCCACCGCCGCCACCGCCACCGCCCCCTCCAGCTCCACCCGCGCCCTTGCCCCCCTTGCCCTTGCTGGAGCGACGTCTCCCACTAGGGGCAGACGCCGCGCCGACCGACTCAAGACCAAGCAGGTCGGCAGCAGCAGCAGAGGCAACAGAGGGCAGCAAGGGGGAAGGAGAGCACCCCTCAAAGATGGGGGTGCGAGGGTCACCACGAGAAGCACCTACAGCGACTATGCTCTTCTCCGCTGCGAGGAGGGCCTTCTCGAGGAGGTCGACGGTGAGGGTGGTGGGACAGACTGCGAGAAAGTGGTCCTTGACGACGCGAAGGGAGTCAGGGAGGCGCGCGACTACGTAGTAGAGAGCGATGTACATGGGGGGTGGGTTCTTAGCGCAGAACTCAGCAGGAAGGGCGGCGCGGTAGCGAGTGTCACTAGTGCGGAGGTGCGTAATGAGATCAGCGACAGTGGGAAAGGCAGAGAGGTCAGGAAAGAGGTAGGGAAGCATGAGGCGGCTCAGTGCAGCAGTGGCAGGGGAGGAGTAGCGCGCAACTACAGCGTCGTACAAGGTCTGAGCACTCTTGTACTGACTAAAGTGCGCACGCTCAGAGGTAGGGAGGTGGCGACGCACAGCAAGACGTGCAGCAGCATCGCGAGTGGCCCACTGAGAGCGGACAGTGGGATCAGCATCAGCAGCAGGAGCAGGAGAGGCGCCAGAGGTGAGGTCAAAGAGAGAAAGGCCGTCAGCCCTGTCGCAGTGTAAGAACAGCTGCAGGTCGTCTAACCAGACCTCAAAATCAATGGCGCGACCCTCAGCGTCAAAAGCTAGGACACTAGGGGTAGCCATGACGACGACAGCGAAGCAGTGCAAGCAGTAGGGGAAGAGCACGCAGTGACAGTGCGACTGTGCTCACCAGGCAGGGCAGGCCGGGAAACTCTGCAGAAGGGCGGCTCGGCGACTCAGTGACTCGGCTGCTGGGCGGCTCGGCTCCCGGGCGGCTCGGCGGCCGGGCGGCTCGGCGGCAGGGCGGCTCGGGTGCAGGGCGGCTCGGCTCCCGGGCTGCACGGCGGCAGGGCGGCTCGGGTGCAGGGCGGCTCGGCTCCCGGGCGGCTCGGCGGCAGGGCGGCTCGGGTGCAGGACGGGGCCGGGACAGGGGACGGCGGGGCCGTCAGGGTGCAGCGGCGGGGCCGGCAGGGTGCAGCGGCGGGGCCGTGACAGGGGACGGCGGGGCCGTTAGGGTGCAGCGGCGGGGCCGGCAGGGTGCAGCGGTGGGGCCGGGACAGGGGACGGCGGGGCCGTCAGGGTGCAGCGGCGGGGCCGACTGGTGCAGTGGCGGGGCCGTCAGGGTGCAGCGGCGGGGCCGTGACAGGGGACGGCGGGGCCGTGACAGGGGACGGCGGGGCCGTTAGGGTGCAGCGGCGGGGCCGACAGAGGTGCAGCGGCGGGGCCGGGAGTAGGACGGCGGGGCCGTCAGGTGACGGGACCCGCTGCAGCGACGAAGAGGCCGCGCGGCCGGCGTGAGGGCGGCGCGGCGCGGCAGAGCCGAGAGGGCGGTGCGGCGCGGCCGTAAGGCCAGCGCGACGTGGGGCCCGGGCCGCGCGCGCGAAAAAAAAGGAGTCGCGCGCGCGACTCTCGGGGCGCCACAAGGGCAGCGCGACAAGCACAGGGTGGGAGCGCGCCTCGGGGAGAATAGGGCGCGCTCCGGGCAGGAAAAAAAAATCGTGGGTGGGCCCTTAAAAAAAAAACGGTCCTTAGGAGGGACCCGCTCTATACCATGTGAAAAGAATGAACAGGAATGAAATGACTAAGTCAGAGTTGGGTACAAATGCAACCCTAGAAAGCTGTACCCCATATGTGCTACCCCACTATAGCCTACAAACATGCATCAGCTATAATAATCTGACAGCTCTCTCACATGCTCTCTCACGCTCTCACATGCACCCTCACACGCTCTCTCACGCGCCCTCTCACGCACACTCTCACACGCACTCTCACACGCACTCTCACACTCACTCTCACGCGCTCCCTCTCGCGCACTCTCACGCGCAATCTCACACGCTCTCTCACGCGCACTCTCACGTGCACCCTCACGTGCTCTCTAACGCGCACCCTCACAAGTCTCTCACGCGTCTCCCACGTGCACTCTCACGCGCCCTCTCACGCACTCTCACGCGCACTCTCACGCGCACACTCACGCGCACTCTCACGCACACACTCACGCGCTCTCTCACGCGTTCTAGCACACGCTCTCTCCTGCGCTCTCTCACACCCGCTCTCACACGCACTCTCGTGTGCTCTCTCACGCGCTCTCTCACGCGCACACTCATGCGCACACTCACATGCCCCTTCACGCGCTCTCTCACGCGCACTCTCACGCGCACCCTCACGCGCTCTCTCACGTTCTCTCTAACGAGCTCTCTCACGCGCACCCTCATACGCACTCTCACACGCTCCCTCACACGCTCTCTCACACGATCTTTCACGCTCCCTAACGCGCACTCTCACGCGCACTCTCATGCGCTCTCTCACGCGCTCTCTCATGCACTTGCGCACGCGCTCCCTCACGCGCTCTCTCACGCGCCCCCTCACGCGCTCTCTCATGCGCCCCCTCACGCGCTCTCTCATGCGCACTCTCACGTGCTCTCTCACGCGCACTCTCACGTGCTCCCTCACGCGCTCTCTCACGCGCTCTCTCACGCGCTATCTCACGCGCTCTCTCACTCGCTCTCTCACGCGCTCTCTCACGCGCTATCTCACGCGCTCTCTCATGCGCACTCTCACGCGCACACTCATGTGCACTCTCACGCACACACTCACGCGCACTCTTACGCGCACACTCATGTGCACTCTCACGCACACACTCACGCGCACTCTTACGCGCACACTCACGCGCTCTCTCACGCGCACACTCACGCACTCTCTCACGCGCTCTCTCCCCACTCTCTCACGCGCACTCACGCGCTCTCTCACGCGCAATCTCACTCGCTCTCTCACGCGCACTCTCACGCGCTCTCTCACGCGCACTCTCCTGCGCGTTCGCTTCCTTGCACACGCTCTCCCTCGCTCTTCGTCTCTCCCCTTCTTCAAATGAAAGTGCAATGCAAGAGGAGACCAATGACACACAAAATTTACAAAGAAGCAAAAATTAAGTCAGGAAATATCAGAGGCGGAAGGGTGGATGAAAGGACCGGGAACGCACCTGATAACAACGGTGCCTCAGAAAACAACCCGCGCTGGCGCACCAACCCGCGCTCGTGCACCAGCCCGCGCTCGCGCACCAACCCGCGCTCGCGCACCCACCCGCGCTCGCGCACCAACCCGCGTTCATGCACCAGCCCGCGCTCGCACACCAACCCGCACTCGCACACCAAGTCTCGCTTGCGCTCGTGCACCTGTCGCCGGAGGCGACGGCGGGAGGGAAGGAGAGGCGATGGCGAGGAGGAGGGAGAGGCGACGGCGGGGAGGAGGGAGAGGCGGGGGCGGGGAGGAGGGAGAGGCGGCGGCGGGGAGGAGGGAGAGGCGACGGCGGGGAGGAGGGAGAGGCGACGGCGGGGAGGAGGGAGAGGCGACGGCGGGGAGGAGGGAAACGCGACGGCGGGGAGGAGGGAGAGGCGACGGCGGGGAGGAGGGATACGCAACGGCGGGGAGGAGGGAAAGGCGACGGCGGGGAGGAGGGAGAGGCGACGGAGGGGAGGAGGGAGAGGCGACGGCGAGGAGGAGGGAGAGGCGACGGCGGGTAGGAAGGAGAGGCGACGGCGGGTGGAAGGGAGAGAGGACGGCGTGGTGGGAAAGAAAGGATGGCGGGGTGGAGGTAGAGATTATGACGAGGTGGGTGGTGGGAGAAAGAGGCAAGAGGTGGGTGGGTTTGTCACGTGAAAACACACGCACAATCACGTGACACTGAGTGGGCTGAAAACAACTCACTATGAACCACACAAAATAGTGCAATGTTACAATACAAAGTATTATCTTTGAGGAAAGAGATCATTGTTCACTATACAAAACAAAAAACGATCGATGTGTCTAGATCTTAACATATTAGAAACGTCAATTGTTAAGAATCATAAACATCCACATTGAAATGAATAGATTGAACCATAAAAAAAGCTTGCCATATTCCTTGAACGGTAGACCTAGATTTGACGATTTAAAAAACCGCAATTTGTTTTTGTCAACTAAGAATGTAACATCTACGCAACCCTTCCGACGTTAACGTCGAGTCTTGTTGGTATCCTGTTTCGCAGAAATTCGTGAGCCTAGAATTGCGACAGACCTGTGTCCAAGTTCAGAGATTAATGGCCCAGTTCGATAGCTTTTGGGGCTTCCAAGATGCAACCGTTTGGAATGGCCCTGTCGCCCAAATGGTTGAGGGTCGCGACAAAGTGCAAGTGGGGCCTCTGGGCCGGCAGTGTAATTATTTGGCCGCCCCAACGCCGACTTGTTTCACCGAACTCAACCGTGCAGGGTGTCGAAAAGCTCCACCCTAACGGCCCATTGAAGCGGACGAGGGTTCCCCCAAAGTTGACAGGTGAAGGCGGAAAAAACCGAAAAACAAAATACCGCTGGATGTAGGGGAAAAAAAAACCATCCACGTAGAACATCTCTGCAAGGAAACCCTATTTCGCGAAACACACTTTCTAGTTCGCTGTATGTCGCTAAGGCACTGGACTCCACAAATCGCGACGTAGTACGAAGCTGCGAAATGTGCAAGTCTCAAGAGTCAAAAGGCTCAGATTCGACCGGGCATGCTCTGTTTTTCTTTACCCTACTTTTGGGCAGTTAGAGATAGGGAAACCGCTAGGTTAGACTACCCCTAAATAGCCCATTGGTCTGGCAGTGAAGCGATTTAGTTGAAAAGCAACTTTGGCAATGGTCCGACACTGGTCTGGTGTTTTACCAGGGAGGGGCTGTAATCATTAGGCGGGAGTTACTGTTCTTGCGCGCTGTGGTGTCAAAGTACCTCGTCAAGATTCCCGCCAACTTTTAGCAGATGGGCGGGAAACCGTGGAGATCGCAGGGGGGTCGTTCGCGCTGGCGGGAATTATGCACCATCGCATGAGGTCGCAAACCGTTTCCCGCCCAAGGAACAAGGTCACCTCAATGTTTTCTGGCATGGGTCACCCTCGCTATCGAACAGGGCCAATGAAACCGAAGGACAATGAACTGGGGTCGAGTTTCCACGTCCACGTTTATCCAAACGTGTGTTCTTCCTCTCGTGCACAATATATCTGCGACTTTTGCGATGGCTACGAATGGCAAAATCCCACGTTACTGAATCCGGATTCGGTTACGATATACTTCGTCAAGCCGGGAAATTTTCGAAATTTTGGCGCGACTTGGGTTTTACTGTATAGAGTTGAGCTTCGAAAGTCGAACTTTGTTGTGCCCCGTTTTTTATGTTTATTTTGATGCTGAGATTTTCCCTCCAGAAGTCGAGATGGTCGACTACACGTCGACCAGAGTTCAAACGGGTAAATTCGAGTTAAAAACGTGAACTTTACAACAAGACACGCGCCCTTACCGTTCAAACTAGCCGTTGGAGATTACTTGTCTCTGTTGAGAGATGTTCACTCTCCGCTTGTAGCAGATGCAACATGTCTCATGCACGAACATCGTGTCCAGGGAAGAAAACATCATGTATAGGGTAAAGACCTTCCCTCAGGTACGAAGGATGATGTTCCGCAACTTCTCCGCCTCATGGCGGCCATGGATTTTACCGAGCTTGTCCAAGTTAACGTCCTCGCTACAGTGCACTCGAAGACCTGACTCAAATCATACCATCGTCGTTAACATACACAATGGAAGTCCGGTCTCCTCCGCAGTCCTTGGGCTCTCCAGTTATCAGGCGAACTGTTTCAGGCTCGGTCATGCATTCCCAAGGTCGTGCAACACGCAAGTTTCTAACCATGGTTCTATCAACAATGTTCTACAAACTTTTATTAAGAATGACACCATCAAGGCGCTATCCTTGGGATTACAACATTGCCTGTACCAGCAACGGGATCCTGGCAAGCCTAAATTACTACTTAAAGCCGTGTTCAGGCATCAGGCAGCACAAGCTTTTCCAGACATCCAGTGTTATCAGCACCTGCATCCTCTGCCTCAACTTCATCATTGCAAGATGTCTCACCCTGCTGATGTCCCGGTCCTGCCTAAGGGTCAGCGTTCTCGTCCTGCTGCTAACAACCCAATTTCCAACAATGTTGATGGTCAGCCTGCACTGGATCAGCACTCGCGAAGCGTCAGTACTGACAATGAAGCTCAGAAGAACAACATTTCTGCGGTGACTGACAAGCTCAAAGGCATTGATGTCTCCGTACCTGGTGGATCTGGTCTCTCTGCTGACAAGGCCGCCATGACTGCTTATGGTGACTCGGATGAGGACTCGGATGATGAGATGCTGATCGATTTGGACAAGGAGGCTGAGTCCCGGCTGCGTTCTGTCGTTATCCTGCTGATTCCAATGATGCTTGAAAAGGAGATCTCATCTGTGATTGAAACTGTCATGGCATTAATCAAACGTGGTTGGTATACAGAGTTATCTGACGGCGCTGCAGCAACGACCAAGTTTCAGGAACTGCTTCCCGCTTACGTCGCCAAAACGCGCTTCTGTCGTCTGCAGGTCTCCTTCATCAAGGAGTCCGATGCGCTTTGGGTGCAGAAAAAGGACGTGGTGTATCAGCCGCTCACGAACATGGGTCAGCTGGTCACGCTGCATTGGCTGCATGCTGAGGACTTGTCTTACGCTCGTGAGAAGGCGATGAATCCGCTCGCCATTGAAGTCATGATCCGTGGTGTCTCTGCTGCTGTTGAACTGGATCTGCTTCATGATCGCCTGGCAACTTACAAGCTGAAGAGTACCCAGAAACCGGCCTTCTTGCGGTGCACGTGTCTTCACCGAGTGCTGCACCCAGTTACTGGTGCTGATACTGATGTGGTCAAGGCGCTGGTCTACGCGCACCCGGGCTCGAGTCGCTGGATTCATGCAGTCGCGGATCCTGCTGATCGCGCGAGGAAGCTCCTCCTCCATTACCCCGCCTTATCCTGCGCGCTCTGTGGTGGCAAACATCATGATAAGTATCATGATGTTTTTATCACTGAGCGTCAGAATAACGTAGGCAAATGGAATCTGACGTTGGGGAAGGTGCACAGGCTTAACGGTAAACGTTTTATCTACAACTCTCGCCGGTCCTCATCTCTCTCCTTTCTCTCAACCACTAACTTTTTGCTTGACCTTCGCAGCTGCGTCGCTGAAAGCATCCTCGCTGGTGCTCCCCATCCTCCGCGATCCAGCCATTGCCCTTGTTTCCACCGGCGGCAGCAGGGAGGACTGGATATGCACACAGGCAGGGTGCGGGAAGGCGAAGGGGAAGAGTTTTATGTCAGCGGCCGATCACATCACTGTTGCTGCTCATCTGCAGCAGCTGGAAAAGCCGGGTTCTGCCACAAAGGCATCTCTTGACAGGCTGAACCTCACTGCCATCCGCAAAGACTACAACCTGTGACAGACTTCAATGATTACCTGACTGCTGCTGCTTGTTGGAGTCTTGGTGTTAGCGTTGCATGTGTAGCTTCTCTCTTCAGCCTGTGGATGATAAGGGGCTGCAAGGAGGTGTATCCATGATTATCAAGAACCACATCACTTTCGCTAGTCTCAACGTGAACGGTCTAGGAAACAAGACTAAACAGAACCGTGTAGCTGACTGGATTAGGACAACTGCAGACATCGCCATTCTTGTAGACACTAGGATCCCTACTCAACATACCTACTGGACAAAGCTTGCCTCAGACTCTGCTACTGTTCTTACCTCTCCTCCATGCACAACGGCTGGTGGCGTTGCAGTTGTGTGCCGAGACCCATCTATCACTTTTCACGACTCGCTAGCTCACCCCTCAGGACGCATAGTCAGAACAATTGTTAGGTGCCCTGGTTTAGAGATCGTACTGCTGGCGGTCTACTTTCCTGCGAATCCCGCATCCAGATCTGCCTTCCTCCGGGATTCCCTCGGGCCGTTAGTAGATCAAGTCCCGCCAACATCCCATTTACTGCTGATAGGAGACCTTAACCTGACTGAAAACTCCAGCCTAGACAGATCTTCGGGCTCGAAGTCCTCCTCTGAGAACGAGAAGCTATTCCTACGCTGCACTGCTTTTCAGCTCTCTGACGCATTCCGCACGTTGCACCCGAGAGCCAGGGAGTACACCTTCTATGATAGATCCCACCAAGCCAGCACACGAATAGACAGAGCCTTAGTCTCGCACTCGCTTCTTGCCCACCTCGCGCTCGCTTCTCATGACATGCCGAAAGATCCCATCTCTGACCACGGATTCGCGATTAAGACATCCTTCAGGCTTGACACTAGAGTCTGTTCAGGACCGGGCATCTGGAGGCTACACGCCTCAATGCTACACAGACCGGGAGTAAGGAGAATAATTGAGGCAACAGTTCGGCGCACACCTGTTCATGACGGTAGCAGCTTTGAAGTACTCATCTCCCGCCTCGGTGCCGGCCTGAGATCATACGCAAGAGAGGAGAGTAAAAGGGTTAAGGCAACTTTGTCGCATCTGGTGAACGCGGTAGCGGCCCTGAAGCAGGAACGGATGAGAAACCCAGCTTGTGACCGGACAAGGCTATTGCTGGAGGAGAGAGAGCTGCAACTGAAAGAGTACCAAGCGACAAGAAGGGAGAGATTACATCTGCAAGCGGGACTAAAGGAGGAACTAACAGGGGAGATAGCCTCGCCTCACCTTTCGGCGAAAGTCCGTGCGAGGAAAGCGCGCACTCAAATCATGGAGGTCAACGAGGGGGGGGTCTCGGTATCCGGTCCCAAGCTGGTATTGGAAGCGGCGTCGAGATACTTCAAGAAAATCTTTGGGAATGACCGGCGTTCCGACTTCTCTGTCTGGAATATGTCCCTGACAAGACGGTTAGAAGGGGGAGTAGCGGAATTTCTGGAGGCGGACTGGACGGAGCAGGAGGTCAAGAAAGCTTTTGCAGCTATGGCGAAAAACAAATCACCTGGTGGCGACGGGCTTCCGAAAGAGCTTTTTGAGGCTCACTGGGACCTGTTGGGAAGCAGCTTCATGGCCATGGTGAAGGACTTTGAAAAGTCGGCCACGCTCCCGGTAGAAATCAAGGAGGCAGTCACAATTTTGCTGCACAAAAAAGGAGAACGGGATCAGCTCAACAATTACAGGCCAATTACGCTGTTAAACTTCTCCTACAATGTGCTGGCACGAGTGATAGCGGATCGAATGAAAGCGGTTCTGCACCAAGTCATCTCACCCGAACAGTGCGGCTTTTTACCAGGCAAAAGGCTGTCGGATGCAGTGGCGCTGGTGGCGGACATGATCGATGCAGCGAAAAACGGAAATGAGGACTGGTTTTTGCTCCTCGTTGATTTTCAAAAAGCATTCGACTCCGTGTCCCGGGACTACCTGTTTCAGGTTCTAAGGAGGATGGGGTTCTCGAACCGTTTCGTGGAGTGGATTGAAGGGCTGCACAAGGACACGAAAACGAGGCTGCTGGTTAATGGGTGGCTTGGAGAGGGGATGGACGTGATATCCGGAGTTCGTCAAGGGTGTCCCTTGGCGCCTTACTTGTTTCTCTGTGCGGTCGAGCCCCTGGCTCAGGCGGTGGAGAGGGAGGAGCTCGGGCTCAGCAGAGAGGGGCAGCGTCTTGGCTACCTTGGTTACGCGGATGATACGACGCTGGCGCTGCAGGGAGCAGAACAGATAAAAAAAGCGGAGAAGTTGTTAGACGATTTCGAGAAAGTCTCTGGGCTGGCGACGAACAAAAGCAAATCGGTGATCTTACCGCTCGGGGCGAATCTTGGCGCGACAGATAGCAGCTCTGTCTTCAAGTGGGCCGGTGGCGACGAAGCAGAGAGGCTGCTGGGGGTCTGGGTGTCGCCTTCAGGAAGCGGCCTGCCGACGTGGGAGAAGGCTCTGGAACACATGTCCGGGAAACTGTTAAAATGGCAGCTGAAGTATCTCACCGCATCAGCCCGAGCGACCGTGGTGAACTGCTACATCACCCCAATAGTGGCCTTCCAAGCGCAAGTTTATCCCCCACCTGTAGAGGTGTGGGTTGAGCTTACGCGGCTGCTACACGGTTTCATCTCTGGCAACAAAGTGACGACAGCCAGGGGCTTTGTGCTATGGAGCAAGGAGTTGGTACACACTACTAGAGCAGCCGGCGGTATTGGAGTGCGGGACCCCAGAATTGTACTCACCTGCCTGGCCGCACGAAGGTTGGGGCTTTTTCTCACGGAAACCAATAGTCTTAAGAAGTACATCATGACGCAGGCGGCGGACTTACCGATGGGAACGGATACCTTCACGGCGCATGAGAAATTACTGAAACACTGGACGGGGCGGAGCGTGCGGTGGAGGCAGACGTGCGAGAGCCTGCTGCAGTCCCCGCTATGTGCACGTCCGACGGCGGTGACTAGGGAGGAGATCCTGCAGGAGAGGATAGCTTTCAACACAGCTTTTCTGTTAAACGGGACAACCCCGCTTGGCGGACAAAAAGTGGCGCAAGGGCTCTGGAAGGTGCGGCTAGGCGATTTGCTAGAGCAGGATGCAGATGGCGGTTTAGCTCAGAGATCTGTGGAGGAGCTATCTCTGCAGTTCGGAGGGAGCGCTCTCGCAAGGATGGCGCTGAAGGTGCTGAGTACGATTCCCGCACCTTGGCTAAAGGTGCTCGGCTTCCCAACAGTGCTTCCCCGCTCGGCTGACTCAACCCCCCAGCTGCCTATTCTGGAGAACGGGCAGGTCATTGCCTTGAAGCGGATGAGGGAGTGCTGGACGGGGTTTAATAAGGAGTCATACAAGAGGGAGAAATGGGCGGCGAGATGGGGAGAAAGCATCGATTGGAAAAGAGCGGTGGACACAAGGGATTCTCTGGCAGTTCCCAGTCGTCCGAGGGATGTGCTTCTGAGAATCCACGGTCTCAATCTGCAGGTGGGGGAACGCCTGGCTTTTCTCAGCAGCAAACCTATCTGCCCGTACTGTGGAGGGGAGGAAACTCTGGAGCACTGTCTCGTGCTCTGCCCGCGGATCCAAATGGTCACGAGTGCCCTCAAGCGCGCGCTGAGCATGCTCAACCCCAATCGCACAATAACCTCGTTGGGTGACTTGCTGTTCCGGGCAACTGGCACCAATTCTGCTTTCCCGGAGCTGACGCTAACGACAATCACGTTTCATCAGCTATGGCTCGAGCGGTGTGATGCTGTTTTTCGGGGCAGCAAGTTTCGGACGCAGCGGGTTCTCAGGAAGATAGAGTTCGCATTCCGGCAGCATGCCAAGCGGTACTCTCGGAAAAATGGGGTGACGTGGCGGAAGCAGAATCACCGGTGTGTTTTGGATGAGCGGGACATGCTGCAGAGGATCAAACTGGATGGCAAGGAGTGGAAGTGGACGAACAGCTTCGCTGCAATCTGGCTTCATCGGAGGGCACGACCCATCAGGCCCTAGATTCATCCCCTCTGGAGTGGAAACTTGTTTTTTCTATCTCCTCACGCACGGTTACGACCGTTTTGTTTTGTATATGCTTGCTCACTGGTGTATACATACACTATCAAAAAAAAAAAAAAAAAAGATGCAACATGTCTGCTCGTATGCGGCAAGGCAAATTACTTGCAACGCAGCCGTCTTAGTCCTCCGCTTTCGCACTGCGTACAAAATTCGCGACTTCAGGCGAGTTAGGAAACATGTTTCCCAAGTCAATAAGACTTCGAAGGACCCATGCCTTCCATTTATCGTATGCCCACCAATGTCGTGCGACGTGACAGCGCGAGGCCAAGATTAGTCCTGCCGCCTTTTTCACCGATGGCGCGAAATCATTGCCACGCTGATTGCTCGCCCTCGAACGTCGCAAGTACTCGTACTGTGATGGACAGATGCAATGGACTCTAGAACCGACCGCGACAAAAAAAATGGCACAGAAACGGCGCCTCGTAACGTCACATCATGCACCGTCGTAGTTCTTCGCGATGGTCGTGTTCAGCAACGTCGGTCTCCGTTCAGTGAGGAGGGGAGGGGAGAGGGAAATGGAGCGAGAGTACCGTACACCACCCCGACCAAAGCGACAATGTCGCTCGCCGAGCGATTGTCATCAGTGCGGCAAGATGCTGGCCGTTCATGGCCGTTCATGCCGTTCAGGCATCGCCAATGTCTCCAGCCTGGCACTGATTGTCGCGGATGCCTGACAACCTAGTAGGTTGGTGTGTTGTGGTGGTGAGCCCAAACTTGCAGCTCACGGCACGGCGCGGCTTTTTGACGATTCCGGAGCGTGACGTTTTTCTCTTACGGATCTCCTTAACACGTGTACATCTATGTACTGGTGGTCACTTGATGATCAGTTCTTCCACCGCCAGTGCACGAATCAGTGATCATCAAGTCGTGCAGACGTGTTCGAGGTGGTCACACAGGAGAGGGAGCATTAGTAGCCGTTTCCAGTTCTATGAGTCACTTCAACTGGCTGCTGATGATAGCTCTCCTTAGTTAATCCCAAGTTCCAGTATTAACGGCGTGCTTCAACACGAAAGCACGTGATTTCTCTTGCAAAGTCGTTCGTAGCCATGGAGGTTTGTGACTATATCGAGTTCGGTCTCCCCGGATCCGTGCTGTACCGGGGATTTCTCCTGTCCGACCCTCCCGCTTCCGGCGCCACCACCACCGCACCCGGCGTCGGCACCGCGTCCAACTTGGACGCCAAGATCAGGAATTCTCCGCATTCCATCATTCAGTCTGGGCGAGGTCAGGAGGACACCACGATCCTGCACCCGATCTCCACGTGGAATGACGTTACGATTCGTCCTGCTGACGCAGCTTTATCGCACGGCGACGGTGGAACCGCTCTTGAAGCGGCGCCGGGCCGGGATGATGGGCTTATGGCGGGCGACAGCATTGCTATGGTTTGCTGCACGCCGCGCAACTCGTGGGTGCAAATCGAGGCGGCTTGTAACGAGGCGTGTCATCCGCTGCGCGTTCGTCAGGTGGACGGTTTACCCGCTCATTACAGTCACAATCTCGATTGGAACCTCGGGATCATCCCGCAGACGTGCTCCTGCCGCCAAGGCGACAACATCGAAGCGACTCTTCAGGCTGGATCTGGCGATGCTTGTACGTCGTGCGAAAACGCATGCGACAATGCAGCCAGTGACACGGCGACATCCGCGACCATGTGCGATGGGGCGTGCGACACGCACATGCCGTTGGAGGTGATCGAAATCGGGCGCGTGGAGGCTCGAGTGGGGCAGGTGTATCCGGTGAAGCCGCTGCTCGCGTTCCACGTCGTCAGCCCCGACCTGAAATCCTCCTGGAAGATCGTGGCCGTCAACTCTTCGGATCCGATGGCTGCGGCGCTGCTAGACTCGCGAAGTGGTTACCCGGTTTGGTTGGAGGCGAAGCTGCACGAAATTGTAGAGTGGCTCAAATACTACAAGTGCAACACCGTGTGTAAGTGGAGCAAGTGTTTAGGAACGTCTGCAGTGCACGCGTCACCTCACCTCACGCGTCACCTCACTCGCCCCTTCAGTTTCTCGGCCATCCACCTCCGTGATACCCCTTGCATGCTCTCTAGTACCCTCCGCCCTGGCTCCTCTCTCCCTTCTTAACCATCCTGGTATCCCCATTCCTCCGCTCTCCGTTCTCTCTCACCCGTTATCCCTTCTGTTCCCCTTTGGCCTTCCCCCTTTACCCCACCCCTTACCCCGGCTCCCCCCTTTCCACACCTCTCCTTCCCACCTCCCCAGTCGATCCGCCGAGCACCATCGCGGGTCGTGAGAAGCCAGCGCCCTTACATCGCACCATCGCCGCCATCAGCGCCGCCCATGCCGCCTGGACGCACTGCCACCGCTGCAGAAGCAGCAGCAGCAGCAGTGTTATTCCCATTGATGGCCTCCCACTGAAGGATCTGAGGCAGCTCGCAGAGCAAACAGCATCCGCTGCTCTCACCAACGCAATCTGCGAGTTCGCCCGCGTTCCCTTCTCCCAACCTGCCTCCGTGCCTGCCGCCGTTGCTGATTGTGCTGCTATTGCCGAGCCTGTGGCCCAGCAGGCTCGGAAGCAGCGCCGGTTCGGAAGGACAGGCTCGGAACCGGGCCGGTGTGTCATGAGAAAGAAGAAGATCTCAATTAAGATTGAGGAGCAAGCGGATAACGTAAGTGAGAGTGATGGTGGGGGTGGGGGGTGGGAGAGAGAAGACGAAGAAGGATGGCAGGAGTACGGTGAAGTGGATCAACAGCAGGAGCGGCAGGCGCAGAAGCAGGGAGGATTGGCGCGTATGAAAGAGCGTTGGGAGCAGCAGTGGCAGCAGCAGGAGAAGCAACAGCAGGAGAAGCAGCAGCAGCAGCGCCAACAGCAGGAGGGAAAACTGGAGCAGCAGCAGGTTACGCCGCAGCAGGAAGGGAGGAGGTTGACCAGGCATTGGCGTTCGTCCTCTTCCTGTGCTCTCGAGATCCCCACCGGAATGCTACTAGACTCTCCCTCCCCCATGCGTCGCTCCTCCTCTTCCCATCTGCGTCAACCCCTCACGCCCTCCCCCTTCACCCGCTCCGCCTCTGCGTTCCTGCGCCAACCCCTCACGCCTTCTCGTTTGCCACTTCCCCCCTTGCCGCCTCTCACCCCTCGTCGCCAACCACGCGCCTTCTCGCCCTCCTCCTCCTCCTCCTCTTCGCACAAACAAGCGGCCTCAAGGTCTGTGTTCTGCGACCTTGATGAGTGTGATGAAGCGGTGGGTCAAGAGGGGTTTCAAGCGGTGGATCAATTGCCCGAGGTCAGCCAAGCAGCCGTGCAGAGACGCCGCTTCGGCCGATCACGCAGCAGCCTCAGCCTCAGTATCAGTGAGACCAACACCGACATTGGTGCCTGTGGTTTTGAGAATCCCAACGCTATCCGCAGTAGCAGCAGCAGCGTCAGCATCAACAGCAGCAGCATCGGCATCAGCAGCAGCAACAGCAGCAACACCGGCATCAGCAGCAGCAGCAGCAGCATCGGCATCAGCAGCAGCAGCATCGGCATCAGCAGCAGCAACATCGGCATCAGCAGCAGCAACACCGGCATCAGCAGCAGCAACAGCAGCAACACCGGCATCAGCAGCAGCAGCAGCATAGGCATCAGCAGCAGCAGCATCGGCATCAGCAGCAGCAGCATCGGCATCAGCAGCAGCAGCATCGGCATCAGCAGCAGCAACACCGGCATCAGCAGCAGCAGCGGCCGGTGTATGACTCGATCGAGTACCCTTCACGTCCTAATCCCCCTGCCTCTTCCCGACGCTTCGGCCTCATCCCCTCCCCAAGCGATTTCCTCCCCTTCTCCCAATCCAGCTTGCCCTCCCTTGAAACCTCCTCCTGGTATCGCTTCTCCCTTTCTCTCTTCCCTGCCCTCTCCCGTACCCTCTCCCATGCCCGTTGAGAGAGGCGGGAGGTACGACTTCCGCCGGTCAATCTCCGCTCACACCGAACGGGAGACCCATAAACCACCTGCTAGGGCTGGGAAGCTGGAAAAGCCTGGCAAGTCGGGCGGGCTTGGCACAGATTTAAACCCTGACACTCCATCTGGAAAGCTGGGCACGAATTTGCTGCCTTTTACACCGAAAGGGCGTGTCGGATTGCCCAAGACGCCAAGGCCAGGATCCGAACTTTCCGGATCTTCAAAGGGACGCGCTGAGCAGCCAAAAACTCCCAGAACTGCCAACACACCGAAAGCGCCCAACCCGCCCAAAACGGCCAACCCGCCCAAAACGGCCAACCCGCCCAAAACGGCCAACCCGCCCAAAGCACCCAACCCGCCCAACACACCCAAGATGCCCAAAACACCCAGTGCTTCCAACACGCCGAGGACGCCAAAAACGCCGGGAAGAACGACCGAAGAAGCCAGCAGCTTCCGCAGGTCGCCAGCAGCAATGAGCGAGCAGCCCACGACCCCCCAAGCACAAGCAGGCAACGAGATGCCCAAGACCCCCTCCCGGGCACGAAGTGAACTGGGCCTAATCACCCCAAGGGGACAAAGGGAGCTGGGTAAGACTCCCAAACCTGCCGTTGGTGCTGGTGCTGCTGGTGGTGGCGGCGCTGCTGCTGCGGCGGCGGCGGCGGCTGCGGCGGCTGCTGCTGGTGTTACTGCTGCAAGCCCACGGGACGCAATGAATGAAGGAGCTGACCGCAGCAGCCTGTCACCAAAGCAGACCGTGGGAGGTGCTGACAGTGGTGGTGGTGAGAGGAGCGGCAGCAAAGGCAGGATGCTGAAAGCCGTGCTGAAGCTGTTCGGGAAGAGCCGGGGGAAAGGGCAGAGTCAGAGCCAGAGCAACAGCAGCATGCAGAGTCCGAGTGCAGATGCTTCAGCTGGCCGGGTCACGCCTTCCTTGGACTCCCCTTCTTTGAATGCGCTGCAGTCTGCTCGTTCTGCTTCTGCGGGCTCTTTCAGCTCTGTGGCTGCTGCTGGTGGTGCTGCTGATGCGGATCCTGAGACTAATGCAGCTCGTACTGCAGCTGTTGCTGATGCTGTTGCTGATGCTGAGGCTGAGGCCGCTGCTGATGTTGATGCTGAATTTGCTGCTGACCTTGACTATCCTCTTGCTGATGCCGGAGAGGCACTCTTCGGCCTCCCGTACTCGTCCAATGGTCTCCATGGTGACATTTACGCTGACAGCACCATGCCTCTTTCCGACAACACCGACAGCAGCAGCGCGGACGTGCTAGCTCGCTTCAAGCGTGCTCTCTCTGAAAACACCGAGCGATCCCGGCCTCCTTCCGACGACATTCTTCATTTGGGCAGCAGCCCAAGTCTTCACGACAGCAACACTGATGTGTTGGCTCGTTTCAAGCGTGCCCTTTCTGACAACACTGAGCGATCTCGGCACGACTCACCACAGCACATTCCCCATGCTGCTGCCTCCTCCTATGTTGCCTCGTTTGAGCATTCAACACACGCTGCCTCTCCACCTCCACCCCCAGATACATATGGTATCCCTGTGCACGCTACTCCCGCCTACCCTGGCAGAAACAGCAAAAGCGCCCATATTCCCAGAGGCAGCAGCGCCTGTAGCGGCAGTGTGTGCAGCAGCAGCAGGAGCGTGTACATGCCGGGGGGAAGCAGTGGCGATATTAGCAGCGTGGGACGCAGCGACAGCATGAGCGTCAGCAGCCACGGCAGCAGCAGCAGCGGAAGCAACACCAGGAGGCTATCCCGGGCTCTCACCCCCACGCACGCGTTTCACCTCCAAACCTCCCCTTCAACCATGCAGTATGGGTATCACGTGCCTGCTTTTGAGGCGCCTGAAAAGGCGTCTGCTCGAGCGCACAGGAGGAGCCGGTCACTCACAATGCTGCAGCAAGCCTACGGCCCAAGTCACATCCAGCAAGCATTTGGATCTTCCAATGACCTCCAACTGCTGATGCACGATGCACTTGAAACGAATGACTCACAAGAGTCGCAGGGGGAAGCAGCAGCGGCTGCGGCAGCAGCAGGGGGAGCAGCAGCAGCATGGGAAGGACAGGAGGCCCAAGCCAGGCCGGTGCCCCGGCTCCCTCCCAAAAGCCCTCGGCTCCCTCCCAAGAGCCCCAGGCCCCCTCGCAGATCACGTGCCCGAGCTGGTGCTTTGAAATCGGCTGAGAGGTGCGAGCAACCCTCTGCTGCTGCTGCTGCTGCTGCTGCTGCTGTTGATTCTGATAGTGCTACTGGGAGGGAGCAATCCTTGCAAGAAAGGGAGCAGCAGCAGCAGCAGCAGGAGAAGGGAGAAGAGGGAGAAGAGCCGCTGCTACAGCTGAAGCTGCCACTGAACCTGCAAGAGCGGTTGCAGCAGGCAGCACATGGGCAGGAATTGCGGGAGGTGGTTCAAGGGCAGGGGTTGGGGCACGGCGGCTACGAGGCAGTGAGAGCCTCAGCAGCAGCGCAGCTGGCCCCCCTCATTTGCCTCACCCCGCCCTTCCCTTCCCCAGTTGATGCCTCCCCTTCCCCTGTGGATGCCTCCCTTTCCCCAGCTAATGCCTCCCCTTCCCCAATTACCACCTCGTTTTGGCCCCTTGGCAGCAGCAGCAACAGCAGAAGCAGCAGCAGCAGAGATATCGAATTCGTTGTTGCAGCTGGTGCTGATGCCGATGCCGCTCTCACCGCTGCTGCATCTATTTTCGCGGGGACAGCAGGAATTGGAGAGAACAGTTTTGAGCTGTCTCAGAACCCGGTTACGGAGGCGGAGGAGGAGGATGAATGCACTTGCATGCATCAGAAGGGAACAGGGGGAGAAGAAGACTCGATCTCATGGGTCGACTCAAGCTACACCACCTTCTCTCATCCCGGCGGTGACTCACGCTACTCCAAAATCGAATCTTCTTATAATGAGTATGTTTCCGGTGGTTGTTCTGACAGTGAGGAGGATCATGGCGGTGGTGGATGGGCTTATAACGAAGCCCTTACCGAGTGTGTGTATGGGGATGAAGGGAGCATGGGGAGCGGCTATGGCAGGAGGGCACACAGGAGCAGCAGCGTAGGCACAAGTATCCAGAGCATGGGTCGTACCACCTTTTCTCCTGGAAAGCAACATGACATTCGATCGCGACACCTCAGGAGTGCAAGTGTCGTGTCTGAACGCACCTTAGAACGCGCCCTTTTGTACCGACCCTGCGGCGCCGAGACAGTATGGGGAGCGTGGGCAGTGTGGGCGGTTCGAGTTTGGTGTTTGAGCGCATTCTGAGCGTGTGTGACGTCTCACCGGTGCCCATCATCCTCTCCTCCCACCTAAGCAGCACAGGGTGGTCGCGACAGTCTGCTGCTGCTGCAGAGAGGCTTGATGTTTGGTCTGCAGGCAGTGATGATGCGAATGCAACAGCTGAAGGTGGAGGAGGAGAAGGAGAAGGGGCGGCAAGGGCATGGCCAGATTCATTAGCTGCAACCACAAACTATTCCTCTGATGCTCCAGAAACAGCAGGAGCAGCAGCAGGGGACGGAGCAGCAGCAGGCCGAGCAACCGTTTCTGCTGCCCCCCAGCTGTCAAGGAGACCAGCAGCATCCTGGATGGGTGCATCTAGAAGGTTCCACCGCACCTCCAGCTGCCCTGATATTGAGGGCATGCCATTCGGCATTGGGCAACCGCAAGCTGCACCTACAGCAGCGGCAGCAGCAGAAGCGGCAGTTGCAGCAGCAGCATCTGAAGGAGAAGCAGAAGAAACAGCAGCAACAGAAGAAGCAGCAGACAAAGGGGAGGGAGGGAAGGAGGGGCAGGAGTCACTTGAGTCTCGCTTAAAGAGATGGCATGAGAGCATGGGTGTTACCTCATCCCACTCCCTGCCCGGTGCCTCCTGTCCCGCCTCCCCCTCGCCACCCCCCCCTGAAGGGCTCTTTGTCCCCGGCCTTCCCCACTGGACCAAGCGGTCACTCCCTCGCTCGCTGCGCATCTCCCGCTCGCTGCTCTCCTTTCAAGAGCGCGCCCTGCTGGAGCACCGCCAGGAGACTGCCCTTCTGCAGGGTACGGCAGAAGAGGTTGATGAGAAGAGACAAGGAAGCAGGAGTGTGCGAGTGAAGAGTGAGAGCTCGCTGCTGTCAGCAGCAGCGGCGGCAGTGGCAGCGCCAGTGTCACCCGGCGAGTCGATCCGGGCGGCCGTGGCGGTTTACTCGGCTTCCAGAGAGTTCTGGCGCCCCCCCTCCACCCCCAAGCCTGTGAAGCAAGCCAAGGCGTGCCTCCCCATGTACTCCCCCCTTGTGCCGCCCATCGGCCTGGAGAAGCTGATCGAGGCCGGGACTGGGGCAGGTGGGACTGGTGGGTTTGCTGGCTTTGCCGGGTGGGGGTTGGGTGCAGGCTGGTGGGGTGCGATAGAGGGAGTGGGGGAGGAGAGGAAAGAGGGGACGTGTGATGCTGGGTGGCTGGGGTTTGAAGGGTTGGTGGATGCGGCACGGGGGATGATGTGGGGGGGAGGAGGAGATGAAGGTGGGGAGGGGGCAAAGGTGATGGGGAAAGTAGGGAGTTTGGGTGCAGCTACAGGGAAGGAGGGTTTGAGAGACCAGAAAGAAGGGGGGGAGGCAGTGGAAGGCGAAGAGAAGGGGTTGACTGTAGAAAAGGAGGAAAATAGTTTTGGTAAAGTGGGTGAGGATGGGGATAGTGGGGTAATCGTAGGAGACGGAGGAGCGAGAGGGGGCGGGTGACATAAGATTCTAGGAGTCAGGAAAGGAAAGCAGTGACTCGCACCTATGCAAGCACATGAAAGTGCTGGTCTGATTTGACATATTTTAGAGGTCTTCTAATTATGGTATTGCCTTATGAGATCATGCTCAATATGTCAATGCGTTGCTGACCGCTTCCAGTTTGCAATATCAATCCAGCTGGCTGCCGATCATAGCCATTTCCTAGTACCAACACACGTTCCAGTGAAAACGACTCGACTAATACGACTGTCAGTAGTTCAGAAGACACGCAACTCCGATTTGTACCTCAGCTGGATCCGACGTTTTTGTGTAACAAGTGATCCTGTCACGCTTTAACCAAAAAGCACGTGATTTTCCTCATAACGTCGTTCACAGTCATGGAGGTTTGTGACTATATCGAATTCGGTCTCCCTGGATCCGTGCTGTACCGGGGATTTCTCCTGTCCGACCCTCCCACTTCTGCCACCTCCACCGCACCTGGTGCTGTTACCGCGTCCAACAAGTCTTCGTTTTCGCCTTCTTTATCGCCGAAATCTACCATTCAGTCCGGGCGAGATCAGGAGGACGCGGTGATCCTCCACCCGATCTCCACGTGGAATGACGTTCCAATTCGCCTTGCTGACGCCAAGTCAGCTTTATCGCACGACGGCGGCGGTTTCACCCGTCCCGAAGCGGCGGATCTGGATGGGCTTATGACAGGCGACAGCATTGCTATGGTTTGCTGCACGCCGTGTAACTCGTGGGTGCAAATCGAGGCGGCTTGTAACGAGGCGTGTCATCCTCTGCGCGTTCGCCAGGTGGACGGGTTACCCGCTCATTACAGTCACAATCTCGATTGGAACCTCGGGATCATCCCGCAGACGTGCTCCTGCCGCCAAGGCGACAACAGGGATCTCCAGTCTGGATCTGGCGACAAGGCATGCGACGCGGCGACATGCGCGACCATGTGCGACAATACATGCGACAGGACGAGCGGCAAGCCGTGCGACAGGGTGGGGGACACGCACGCGCCGTTGGAGGTGATCGAAATCGGGCGCGGGGAGGCTCGAGTGGGGCAGGTGTATCTGGTGAAGCCGCTGCTCGCGTTCATCGTCGTCAGCCCCGACCTGAAATCGTCCTGGAAGATCGTGGCCGTCGATTTGTCGGATCCGATGGCTGAGACGTTGCTGGACTCGCGAAGTGGTTACACGGTTTGGCTGGAGGCAAAGCTGCGCGAAATCGTGGAGTGGCTCAAGTACTACAAATGCAACACCGTGTGTAAGTGGAGCCTCCATTCTCGCATGAACTAACGTTCTTTCATAATCAGGAACGTCTGCAGTGCACGCATCACCTCAAATCACCTCACTCGCCCTGCGGTTTCTCGTTTATGCATGTTGTCTCGTGCCCTCCTCCTTGGCTCCTTTTCCCCTTCTCTCGTTCCCTCCTCCCTGGCCCCTCTCTCCCTTCTTTCGTGCCCTCGTCCCTGGCTCCTCTCTTCCTTCTTACGCAGCCTGATTTCCCCACCCTCCTCCTTTCTCTCTCATCCAATATCCCCACTGTTTCCCATTGTCCTTCCCTATGTCCTTCCCGCCGCAGCAGCAGCAGCAGCAACATTACGAGCACCAACACTACCAAGCAGCAGTATTTTCACAGATGGCCTTCCACTGAAGGATCTGAGGCGGCTCGCAGAACAAACGGCATCCGCTGCTCTCACCAACGCTATCGGCGAATTCGCCCGAGTGCCCTTCGCCCAACCTGCCTCCGTACCTGCCGCCGCCACTGATGGTGCTTCTGTCGCCGAGCCTGTGGCCCAGCAGGCTCGGAAGCAACGCCGGTTCGGAAGGTCAGGCTCGGAGCCAGGCCGGTGTGGCATGCGGAAGAAAGAGATTTCAATCAGAATCGACGAGCGAGCGGATGATTCAAGTGAGAGTGATGGTGGGGTCGGGGGTTGGGGGAGAGAAGACGACGAAGGATGGCAAGTGTATGACGATGCGGAGCAACCGCAAAAGCAGCAGCAGGCGCAGAAGCAGGGAGGGTTGGCGCGTACTAAAGAGCGGTGGCAGCAGCAGTGGCAACAGCAGCAGCAGCAGGAGAAGCATCCGCAGCAGAAGGGGAAGCAGCAGCAGCAGGAGGGGAAGCAGCAGCAGCAGCAGCAGCTGGAGGAGGGGAAACAGACACAGCAGCAGGTGAAGCCACGGCAGGAGGGGAGAAAGTTGACGAGGCACTGGCGATCCTCCTCGTCCTGTGCTCTCGAGATCACTTCTGAGGCGCCTCAAGAGGGGAAACAGGCGCAGCAGCAGGGGAATGCGCAGCAGGAGGGCAGGAAGTTGACCAGGCATTGGCGATCCTCCTCTTCATGTGCTCTTGAGATCCCCACCGAAATGCTCCTAGACTCTCCCTCACCCTTGCATCGCTCCTCCTCTACCAACCTCCGCCAACCACACACCTTGACTCGCTCCGTCTCTGCTTTCCTGCGCCAACCCCTCACGCCCTCCCCCTTGCCGCGACCCCGCTGCCGCCTCTCACCCCTCGCCGCACTCCGCATGCCTTCTCGCCCTCCCCCTCCTCCGCCTCGCACAAACAAGCAGCCTCAGGATCTGTGTTTTGCGACCTTGATGAGTCGGATCAAGTGGTGGGTCAAGAGGAGTGTAAAGTGGTGGAGCAAGCGCCCAAGGTGGATCAAGCAGCCGTGCAGAGAGCTAGTCACGGTCGATCACGCAGCAGCATCACCTTCAGCGTCAGTGATACCAACACCGACATTGGTGCTTGTGGCAGTGGGAATTCCAACGCTATCTGTAGCAGCAGTAGCAGCAGCAGCAGCAGCAGCCGGCGTATGGCTAGATCGCCTACCCTTCACGTCCTAATCCCCCCTCCTCTCTTAGAAGCTTCACCCTCAACCCTTCCCCAAGCAATCTTCTCCTCTTCTCCTGATTCAATTTACCCTCCCCTGAAACCACCTCCTGGAAAGGCTTCTTCCTCGCTCTCTTCCCTGCCCTCTCCTGGACCCTCCCCCACGCTCATTCAGAAAGGTGGCCGGTACGACTTCCAGCGGTCAATCTCTGCTCAGACCGAAAGGGAGTCTCAAAAACCACCTGTGAGAGCTGGGAAGTTTGAAGCGAATCGGCTGGCTGCTACCCCACCTGCTACCGCAGCAGATAGGACTGGGAACCTGGAAAGGTATGGGACGCCTAGGGAAGCTAGCAATATAAGCGCCTCTCGCGCTGAGAAAGGAGGCAGGTATGACTACCGGCGGACAATGTCTGCTCAGACTGAACGGGAGTTCCAAAAACCACCTGGGAGGGCTGGGAAGCTGGAAAGGTCTGGCAAGTCAGGGGATGTTGGTGCGGGTCTGCTGCCTGATACCCCGAAAGAGCGTGCTGGGCTGGCCAAGTCGCCAAAGACAGGAACTGATCTTCCCGGAATCTCAAAGGGACGCAGCGGGCTGCCGAAAACGCCAATAAGTCCCAACACGCCCAAAATACCCAGCACTTCCACCGCGCCACCAAGAAAGTTGAGAACGCCGAGAACGGCCGAAGAAGACAGCTGCTCTTGCAAGTCGCCAGCAGCAAGGAACGGGCTGTTGCTGCTGACTGCTGCAGCTGCTGGTGCTGCCACTGCTGGTGCTGATGCTGATGATGACTTTGATGCTGCTTCTGGTGCTGGTGCTGCTGGTGCTGCTGGTGCTGCCGCTGGTGCTGAATATGACGATGATTTTGACAATCCACATGCGGATGCAGGGGAGGCACTCTTCGACCTCCTGTGCTCATCCAATGGTCACCACCATGAGGACGAGTTTTACGCTGACTTCACCATGCCTCTTTCCAACAATGCTGACGGCACCAGCACGGATGTTTTGGCTCGCTTCAAGCGTGCTCTCTCCGACAAGACCGAGCGACCCCCGCCTCGTTCTGAGGACACTCTATTTCCGAGCAGCAGCAGCCAACAGCATCCTGACAGTGTCACGGACCTGTCGGTTCGCTTCAAGCGTGCTATCTCTGACAACACCGATCCCGGCACGACTCACCACAGCACAGCCCATACGCTGCTGCCCAGTCCTATGCTGCCTCAATTGAGCATTCAAAACACACTGCCTCTCCACCCCCACACGCAGATGTGTATGGTATCCCTGTGCACACTACTCCCATCTACCCTGCCCCACTGCGTCGCCATCAGCCCCGCAGCAGCATTCACAATCCGGGCAGCAGCAGCACCGGCAGCAGCGGCTGCATGAGCAAGAGCGGCCAGATTCCCCGAGGCAGCAGCGCCTGCAGCAGCAGCGTGTGCAGCAGCAGGAGCATGTACATGCCTGGAGGCAGCAGCGGCGATATCAGCAGTGCGGGGTGCAGCGACAGCATGAGCATCAGCAGCCACGGCAGCAGCAGCAACAGCAGCAGCAGAAGGGTATCCCGTACCCTCACCCCCACGCACATGTCTCCCTTCCAAACCTCCCCTTCAACCATGCAGTATGGGTATCGCATGGCCAGAGGAGGAGGAGGAGGCACGCTGGGGCTCTCTCCTACGCTCGCTCGATTGCACAGGAGGAGCCGGTCGTTCACTATGCTGCAGCGTGCCTACGGCTCAATTCAGATCCAGCAAGTGTTTGGGTCCTCCAGCGATCTGGACCTGCTGCTGCAGGAAGAAGCGCCTGAATTGGATGAATCACAGGAATGGCAGGAATTGCAGAGATTTCAGGCGTTGTCGCAGGGAGCAGCAGCACAAGTGCAAGGAGCAGCAGTGGCGCCGGCGGTTGTGGCAGCGGCGCGGGAAGGACAGGAGGCTCAGCCAAGGCCGGTGCCACGGCTCCCTCCCAAGAGCCCCAGGGTCCCTCGCAGCTCACAGCCCCATGCAGACTCGCCCCGGAATCCCCCTGCCCATTCGCCCAACAACTCACCCCAAAACCAGGCAGGAAGGTTTGGGCGGGGGCAAAATTTGCCTCAGGAATCGCCCGAGAATTTCCCAGGGAATTGGGCCCAGAATCCTTGGCAGAAACCGGCCCAGAATCCTTGGCAGAAACCGGCCCAGAATCCTTGGCAGAAACCGGCCCAGAATCCTTGGCAGAAACCGGCCCAGAATCCTTGGCAGAAACCAGCCCAGAATCCTTGGCAGAAACCGGCCCAGAATCCTTGGCAGAAACTGGCCCAGAATCCTTGGCAGAAACCGGCCCAGAATCCTTGGCAGAAACCGGCCCAGAATCCTTGGCAGAAACCGGCCCAGAATCCTTGGCAGAAACCGGCCCAGAATCCTTGGCAGAAACCGGCCAAGAATCCTTGGCAGAAACCGGCCCAGAATCCTTGGCAGAAACCGGCCCAGAATCCTTGGCAGAAACCGGCCCAGAATCCTTGGCAGAAACCGGCCCAGAATCCTTGGCAGAAACCGGCCCAGAATCCTTGGCAGAAACCGGCCCAGAATCCTTGGCAGAAACCAGCCCAGAATCCTTGGCAGAAACCGGCCCAGAATCCTTGGCAGAAACCGGCCCAGAATCCTTGGCAGAAACCGGCCCAGAATCCTTGGCAGAAACCGGCCCAGAATCCTTGGCAGAAACCGGCCCAGAATCCTTGGCAGAAGCCGGCCCAGAATCCTTGGCAGAAACCGGCCCAGAATCCTTGGCAGAAACCGGCCCAGAATCCTTGGCAGAAACCGGCCCAGAATCCTTGGCAGAAACCGGCCCAGAATCCTTGGCAGAAACCGGCCCAGAATCCTTGGCAGAAACCGGCCCAGAATCCTTGGCAGAAACCAGCCCAGAATCCTTGGCACAAACCGGCCCAGAATCCTTGGCAGAAACCGGCCCAGAATGTGCATGAGGTGTCTCCTCCACCTGGCGCTCAGCCTTCTCATCCCGAGGCAGGCATTGGCTCTTGTCCGCTCATGCCAAGGCAGTGAGCAAAAGCTGCTGCCTTGGAATCATCTGAGAGGTGCAAGCAACCACCTGCCTCTGCTGCTGACTTGGTTAGTACTGCTGCTGGTGCTGGTGCTGGTGCTGCTACTGCTGCTGACTCTGGCAGTGCTTCTGCGGGAGAGCAATTGCTGCTGCAGCAGCAGGGACGGGAGCAGCAGCAGGAAGAGGTGGGAGAAGAGCCGCTGCTGCAGCTGAAGCTGCCTCTGAAGCTGCAGAAGCGGTTGAAGCAGGCAGCAGAAGGGCAGAAACTGCAGCAGGTGGCACAAGGGCAAAATTTGGGGCATGGGGGATATGAGGCAGTGAGAGCCTCATATGCAGCGCAACTGGCGCCCCTCATTTGCCTCACCCCGCCCTGCCCTTCCCCTGTTGACGCCTCCTCTTCCCCAGCTGATCGTTCCCCAGTTAACGCCTCCCCTTATCCAATTGACACCTCCCTGTCCCCAGTTACCACCTCGCGTTGGCCCTTCGGCAGCAGTAGCAGTAGCAGCAGAAGTTGCTGCAGCAGAGACATCGAATCAGCGGCTTCCGCCGCTGCTGATGCCGATGCTGCTCTCACCGCTGCTGCTTCCATCATCGCAGGAACAGCAAGAGCTCAAAAAGGGGCAGTGGGTGGGTTCGTGGGTGGATATGCGCACGGTGTTGAGCCGACGCAGAACTCGATTGTGGAGGGGTATGCAGCCAAGGAGGTAAGTTTGGATGAGCAGCAGCAGCAGCAGCAGAGTGAGGAGGAGCGGAGGGGAATGAGCGCGAGGGTTGAGGAGGAAGAGAGGGAGGGGGAGAAAGAACAGGAGGAGGAGGCGGAGGAGGAGGGGTGTGGTCAGAAGCACCACACAGGCACTTCACGAGAAGCAAATACAATCTCATGGATGGCCTCGAGCTACAACTTCTCGACTGCTTTCGAGTCGACTCAAAAGGAGGCAGAGGAGGGATGTGCTCCCAAGCACCATACGACAGCAGCACGAGACAGCACGGCACGAGAAGACAGCACGGCACGAGAAGACAGCACGGCACGAGAAGACAGCACGGCACGAGAAGACAGCACGGCACGAGAAGACAGCACGGCACGAGAAGACAGCACGGCACGAGAAGACAGCACGGCACGAGACAACACGGCACGAGACAACACGGCACGAGACAGCACGGCACGAGACAGCTCGGCACGAGAGGAGAGCACGGCACGAGAGGAGAGCACGGCACGAGAGGAGAGCACGATTTCATGGATGGACCTGAGCTACAACTTCTCCACTCATCCTGGCGACTCTCAGCACTCCGAAACCGTACGTTCTTATATTGAGGAGCTTGTTGCCGGTGGTGGTTCTGACAGCGGTGAGGATGGCGGTGGTGTGTGTGCTTATAACGAAACCCTTGCGGAGTGTGTTTATGGGGATGATCCCTCATTGATTGCTCCAAGGGAGTTCACTTCCACCGGAGAAGAAGGGGGCATAGGGAACGGCTGTAGCAGGGGAGCACACAGCAGCAGCAGTGTGGACAGGAGTATCCAAGACATAGGCCGTCCCTCTATCTCTCCTGAAACTCAAGTCGGCAGGCGTTTGAGACACCGCAGAAGTGCTAGTGTCGCATGTGAATGCACCTTTGAACGTGCCCTTGAACCGACCTTTGTTCCAACCCTGCGGCGCCGTGACAGTATGGGGAGGGTGGGGAGTGTGGGCAGTGCGAGTTTGGTGTGTGAGCGCATCCTGAGTGTGTGTGATGTGTCGCCTGTGCCCATCATTCTCTCCCCTCGCCTGGGCAGCCCGGGGTGGACTCGGCGGGCCGCTGCTGCTACTGCTGCTGCTGCTGGTGCTGCAGAGAGACTCGATGTTTGCTCTGCAGGCAGTGATTATGCGTATGGAACAGTGGCAGGCGCAGAGGCACGGTCAGCATCATCAGTTGCAGTTAAAGATTACTCCTCTGTTGTAGCAGCTGTAGAAGCATTCACGAGAACAGCAGCAAGAGCAGGAGAAGGAACAGAGGGAACATGTGGAGGAGCAGGGGCAGGAAGTGAAGCAACCCCCTCTGCTGCCCCCCAGTTGCCAAGGAGACCAGCAGCACCCCAGCTGGGTGCATGTAGAAGGTTCCACCGCACCTCCAGCTGCCCTGATATTGAGGGCATGCCATTCGGCATTGGGCAACCGCAAGCTGCACCTACAGCAGCGGTAGCAGAGGCAATAGCAGCAGTAGCACAAGTGGCATTAGCAGGGGACAAAGAAGCAGCAGCAGCAGCGGGTGAAGAAGCGGAGGGAGGGAAGGAGGGGCAGGAGTCACTTGAGTGTCGCTTGAGGCGATGGCATGAGAGCATGGGTGTCTCGTCTTCCTTCTCCCCCCCCTCGCATCCCCCCCCTGCTGGCCTCTTTGTGCCCGGCCTGCCCCACTGGACCAAGCGGTCGCTCCCTCGCTCGCTGCGCATCTCCCGCTCGCTGCTCTCCTTTCAAGAGCGCACCCTGCTGGAGCACCGCCAGGAGTCCGCCCTCCTGCAGGGGAGGGCTGGACAAAAGGACGGGGGAAAGGATGGGGAAAAGAATGGGGAAAGCGAGCTTTGGAGTGAGAGGAATGGGGAGAGCAGCAAGGGCATTGGTGAGGGAAGCAAGGGGGAGAGAAGCAAGAGGCCAGCAAGGAGGTGTGAGAGGGCAAATAGTGACGGAGGCGTGGGCTCCCTCCTGTCAGCAGCAGCGGCAGCAGTGGCAGCACCAGTGTCCCCCGGAGAGTCGATCCGAGCGGCCGTGGCCGTCTATTCTGCCTCAAGGGAATTCTGGCGCCCCCCCTCCACCCCCAAGCCTGTCATGGAGTCTCAACTGAAGCAGGCCAAGAAGTGCCTGCCGATGTACTCCCCCCCTGTGCCGCCCATCGGCCTGGAGAAGCTCATGGAAGGCGGGACTGGGGCAGGTGGGACTGGTGGGTTTGCTGGGTTTGGTTCGGGAGGTGGGTGGGGGTTGGGTGCAGGCTGGTGGGGTGCGGTGGAGAGAGCTGGGGGGGAGAGGAAGGAGGGGACGGGAGAGGCGGGGTGGCTGGGGTTTGAAGGGTTGGTGGATGTGGCACGGGGGATGATGTGGAGGGGAGGAGGGGATGGAGGTGGGGAGGGGGCGAAAGGAGGAAAAAGAAAAAAAATTGGGTACAGCTTTAGGGAAAAGTATGGGGGATCAGGACGAAGAGGGAGAGGCAGTGGAAGGAGAAGAGGAGGGATTGGCTGCAGGAGAGGAAGGGAAATGTTTTGAGAAAGGTGGTGAGGAGGGGAATCGAAGGAGAGGGAGGAGCGAAGGGAGGCGGGTGACATAGCATCATGTTTTTCTGGGGGGGTTTTATACTAAGACAACTAATAGACTGAAGGAATTAAGAAACAATTTTATTATCAATATACGGTGTTATTTTCTGTGGGCGCTGATGACGTCAACGTTTATTGGGAAGTTTGATGTGTGTTTTTAATTTCACCTTGGTGGCTCTAGAGTTTTTGCAGCCGAATGTATGTCGAGAATGAATGAACCTCACATAACGCGCCAACAAGACCCGATACTGCCAAGTCCCGTTGACCACGACTTTCCCCAAGCCGCATCATCAGCCGACTTTCTCGTGAAAACTTCCACTGTTCGTTTTTCTTACGAAATAGTTGCCGACCTACTGAATGATCAGGCTAGTTACCATGGAAGGGCATAACTTTAAAGGTATCGCATAACGATTTCGCGCTTGAAACAAATGAACAAAGATAAAAATGAACGAATGAACATCCACGGACGCATCACGAACCCATCATTTTGTGTCCATGTAGTGGGTTTCACAACTTCTCGAAAAGGGTAAACCTTCTCCAGACAATACCCACCACCCCCAATATCCACATTCCGATTCGGAAGAATTCTCGATTCTTCTCCTACACCACACCTTTCCCCACTTCCCAACCAAGCCGCTTCAGAGGTCCGGCAAAAATGCCATGTATAGATGTTGCCAAAGCTTCATGAGAAGTAGTTCAACTCAGCAGCAGAAGCATCTTCAGTCTGAAAGTATAGGCTGCTCTGGTTCACAGGCCCGTTTCTTTTCGTTCGGTGCTTACTCTTTCCTGTTCCGTCAGCAATGGAACTTCGCCGCCTCTTCCCCGTCTTGGTCCTGCTCCTTCTCTCCGCCTCGCTTCTTCCGCTCGCTTCCTCCCGAGAATTTCCGTCGCAGGCAATCGGCCGCTTGCGCTCCCCACGGGAACTTGACTGCAGGTTCGTAGGGACTTTTTGAAGTAGTAGCGAGGAAATGAATGTTCCACCAGGACTCGTATGCCACGGTTGCCATGTTCAGGGTATGTTTTAGGTTATTTGAATGGGGTATAATTTGTTAAGCAGTGCTCGCTCTATCTATCGCTGGTTTTTTTGGAGAATTATGTTCAGACCATTCGTCATCCCTTATTCTTGTAAATCGGCCATTTCTGTATCTTCTTTACAGCAAGACGTCTTGGCCTGAGGTGCTGGGCATGACAGGCGAGGCGGCTAAGGCTTACATCCAGTCGTCTGTGCCGCAGTGCAATTGGGATATCGTAATTATCCCGTTTGGGGCTATGGTTACCGCGGATTATCGCACCGACCGCATTCGCATCTTCGTGGATCCAGAAGGGATTGTTCGCTCAATTCCTGTGGTTGGGTAAAATTTTTAATCTACAGTGCGGGCTAATGACAGCAAAATTGCTAAATACGTTATGGATTATGTAGATATCCTTGCTACAACGGTACTGTCCTGCATAAATGGCGGTTATGAAATAAACAGCGCCGAACCTGTGTATACATGTACTGAAGAATGATGATCGTAATGCTGACTGGGATGGTCACTCGAACTTTCCAAATTCAACATTAAGCGAATGGATGGGTGGTGGTCTCCTCCATAGAAAGGTGTTTCTCCTGCTCACATGCCCTTTTTCTGTTTTCCATAAATTTGCCCAGCACTTCTTGCAAACGCTCTACAATTGAGAATGTGAAGGGAAGACGGGGCAAGGAGGGGACAGGGGGGAGTAAGCACAAAACAGAGTTAGTTTAATTTAAATAGAATAAACGCATGGAATGGAACACACATGGAGAATACGAGGGGGCAGAGGAGGTGTAAATGAAGGGGAGCAAGGAATCAGGCAAAGGGGAAATGAGGGTGGAGAGTGCAAGCATGTAGAGATCCCACAACTTGGTTATTAATACACAGTTTTGCTACATACATGGCTCCACAAGTGAGAGGTGAGAGTGGGAAGAATTGAGGGGACGAGTGGAGCAAGCATTGGTGTGGGTGTAGAACTGATGCTCCTGTAGGCGGCTCAAAAGTGGGACAAATGATGCAGTGTCCATAAGATGGGAAGGAGTATGGTATGAGGAGAAGAGAACAGAGGACAGTGGTGCTCAAGAGAGTGAATAAAAAAGGGAATGAGGATAGGGAGAGTGAGGGAAGGAGAGCAACGGGGCGGGATCGAGGGAAGGACGAGTGAGGGAAGGACAATGTGAAAGTGGGGTGGGAAGAGGCTGAAAAAGGAGCTCCTGAGGAGGTAGGAGAGGGAGAGAAGAATTACCTATCATTGGCCAAGGGCGGGATGTTCGGATTGAGCCAATGGCAGGAGGATTGGAGGGACGATTGGAAGGTGGAGGGGGATGGTTCATGTGGAGTTACAAGTTATCGTGAATGATTAGTGCTCATAAGTGCTGCTACTGCTGCTGCTGCTGCTGCTGCTGCTGCTGCTTCTGCAAAAGTAGAGGGAATGTGAGGGCGAAGGGGATTGGAATAGGAGAATGTAGGAACGTGAGTTGTCGTCACTGATTGATTAAGTCTTTAATTGAATGGCAGTAAGTACAACTGATATGAGTCGGAATAAGTGAGATGTTATTTGTATCGAGTGAGCGTGGCCACTGGTTCGCCTCCAGTAGAACAGATATTACATCCGTGCACCACACTTCACCGATTAACACACATCATCACCTTACCTCAACCACACCTGAACCACTGCGCAAACCACTGCGAACGCGTCTTGCTCCTTGATCTCAACCCCGACACTTTGTCCGTCCTGCGCGGGTACCCCCGCTGCATCCCCCCCAACTCCCCCACTCCCCCCCCCTCCCCCTTCCCCTTTCTCTTTCTTCCCCCCTGTTTCCACGCACATCTCAAGACACATGATTGGTTGGGGGATGGGGAGAGTTGCAAGGATTAGTGGCTCTACTGGGAACGATGGGTGGAGCGGAGCCTACTGCGTTCACCATTACAACGGTCCTACCCCTCCTGCGCCACGCTTCACCCATCACCCACCCCATCACCCCACACCCATCACCGCTCACCCACCACCGCCTCACACCGCTCATCACCGTCTCACACCCAGCCGTTATTTTTTCCGCACCTGAGCCTCTGCGAACGCGTCTAACTCCCAGTGGCTGTACTTCCCTGCACCGCACTTTCACAGATCTACACCCGGAATCCTTCTTTTCCGTACCTGGACCAGTGCGAACGCGCCTAGCCCCTTAGATATCAACCCCCACCGCTTCGCTGATGATAACTCCCCTCATCCTGCGCTGCTACCTCCGCCGCTTCCCCCCTCCCCCCCTCCCCCCCCCCCCCCCCCCCCCTTCCTGCTCCCCCGGCATCCCCCCCGCAGCTCCCTCCCGCCATTTCCCCCGCAAGTCTCCCCTTGGAGTGCGCCGATCGCGGCTCCTCCACGCGTTAGCCGATCCCCGCCACTTTTTCCTTCCGCCATTGCCCCAGAAACGATAGCGCAAACGCTCCTCGCGGGAAAGTAACATCCGCGGAAGGAGAACGCGGATGGTTGGCGGAACGTGCATCTGCGGTAGTGGCATCCGCGTTAGAAGCACTCGCGATGTGGAACTAGCGTTGAGTTGCACTGGTGCGTGAGCTTGGGAGGCAAAAGAGTACCATGTGCGTGTAACGAGCGAGTCCGTACCGTTGATTTACGTGGCGGAAGGACTAAGCGGTGTGACGAGCGACGATCGCTTGACTGACGACATTGATTGCGACAGCACGTGCGACGGTGCAAGCAAGCTTCTCTCCGACGACGACTTTGCTGCGACACCAACAGACCTTAGGATTGGTCGAGATTGCTAAGCTTTGCACAGCTGCAAGGAACAGCGGAAGTGAAGATGCGACGAAAGCTTTTGATGCGCTTGAATGGCCGGATACGTGGCGAGATCGCGAGGCGGAGAGCCTCTGAAACGAGTCAGAGTTGCGGATCTGCGGATCTGCGGACTCCAGAAAACTAAGAGTATGCTACTGGTTTTTTGTCAGCCCACTGAAACCCATATTTCCTGCAAAGTTTGAGATATATTTTTTTCAGCTTTCGCCTTTTTTACTCTGAAGTTTTAGCCTTTTTTTTTTGGGCTTTAAGGAGATCCCCGGCTGAAGTTTTCGCAGCTGCATCTATATCGAAACTGAATGCGGCCTGCGAAACGTGCCTCCAAGACACTGCCAAGATCACGATTTCCTCAAGCGCTTCGTCAGCCGACTTTTTCGTGAGAACCTCTGCTGCTCGGGTTTCATGCCCAGCTAGCTGCCGACCAAATGAGAGATATTGTAAGGGCTAGCGATATTGGAAGGGCTCAAGTTCCAAGGGTATCGCATTTCGATTTCAAGTTCGATGGAAAAAAAAAAATTAGTACCGCTACCATTTTGATATTTTCAGCAGTTTCTAAGAACGGATGAACACCCGCAACCGAAGCCCACGCATCACGAACCCATAGTTTTCGACCGTGTTGTGGGTTTCACGACTTCGTCGGAAGAAATAAGCCTGATCCAGATCCACCCCCAACGTCCACATTCCAAGCCAAAGCATTCTCGATTCTTCTCCTTTCACCTCCACCACACCTTCCTCCACTTCCTAACCAAATCACTCGAAGTCAAGCCGACCCGAATGCTCAGTCGGGCATGACAAGTCTAGCTAGATGAGTAGTATTTTGGCCAGAGCAGCAAGCATAAGTATGATCATCAGTCTATAGTATAGGCATATCTGGTCCACGTGCTCGTTTCTCGTTTGGTGCTTCCGCTTTTTTTCCCTTTAGAATTCCGTCAGCATGGAACTTCGCCGTCTCTTCCCCGTCTTGGTCCTGCTCGTCCTCTCCGCCTCGCTTCTTCCGCTCGCTTCCTCCCGAGTATTTCCGTCGCAGGCAATCGGCCACGAGCGCTCCCCAAGGCAATTTGACTGCAGGTTCGTCGGGACTTTTTGTACGAGGTGCAAATGCATGTTCCATATGACCTCCATGCCTGCTCGCTTTTTTATCGCTGAATTCTAAAAAAGAATGTAGTTTCGTTGTGTCCAGTCGTCAGACCTATTCATATGAATCGGCCATTTATGTTTCCCTTCATTACAGCAAGACGTCGTGGCCCGAGGTTGTGGGCATGACGGGCCAGGCGGCTCGCGCCTACATCCAGTCGTCAGTGCCGCAGTGCAACTATGACATCGAAATCATCCCTTGGCAGGCTTTGGTCACCGCCGATTATCGCGCCGATCGCATTCGCATCTTCGTGGACGAAGGCGGGATTGTTCAAATGATTCCCGTGGTTGGGTAAAACAATCACCGTAATAAGATATAAGATTTAACCTACAGTGGGGGTTAATGATATGCCTGAAGTGGTCATGAGTTACTTATTCGGCATAATTACTGAACACGTTTTGGCTCATGTGTGTATTTTTCCTGGTCGGGTGAAAAAGGGTAAATTTTTTGCCGAGAAAAAAAGCTTATAATGTCAATGTTAATATGTCTAAGCTTGCATCAATCTTTTGTTACCAATATTGTAAGGAATTTTCCCGAATTCCTTATCGAGGTTGACTGCTTCGCGTACAACCCGATTTTCGGAGTTTGCACGTTCGGCCGATTTCAACGCTGCCGAGGCTCCTCGCGTCGCCTTCGGCATTTCCATCACCGAACTTGAACCCAACCTCGCCTCCCGAGGTTTCCTCCTGGTTAGGCTAGTCCTATAATAGTCCGTGCATTCGTTGTATTCTCAGATTCATTCAGTCACAGCCTCGTTATTCGTTTACCTGCGCACTCTCCTTTACAACTCATAACACCTGGTACCGTATTCTCCCGGATATAAGACCCCCCGGAAAACAAGACCCCCGGGTCTGTAATACGGGGGTGGGTCTTTTATTTTGGCAGGTTTCCACAATATCCCCCCCTTGAGGGGGTAACATTACTAGACCCCCTCCGTGTCAGAACATTATAGCTTACTTATTTGTGTAGGCTATAGTGGGGTATTGTCAAATGTTGTAGCCTATAGTGAGGTTTGTCTTAGGGGGTACAGAAGTTAGGGTTAGTTATATGTACCCCAACCAACATCAATGGAACCATCCATTCCTCATTTTGACATGGTATCAGCTAGGTTAGGATCCTGTGGGATCCCGTTCCTCCGTTCTCCGTTCGTACCTCCCGAGCCTGATCCTACCTCTCGTTCGTACCAGTTCCGTTGTTACCGCGCCTAGTACCGAGCCTAGCGCCCTTCCCCCCCCCCCCCCCCCCCGTCGCGTCGCGCCCTTTCCCCCCGTCGCGTCGCGCCCTTTCCCCCCGTCGCGTCGCGCCCTTTCCCCCCGTCGCGTCGCGCCCGTTCCCCCCGTCGCGTCGTGCCCGCCCGTTCCCTCCCGTCCCGTCGCCCTGTCCCGTCGCGTCGCCCTGCCCCGTCGCGTCGCCCTGCCCCGTCCCGTCGCCCTGTCCCGTCCCATCGCCCTGCCCCGTCGCGTCGCCCTGCCCCGTCGCGTCGCTCCCGCCCTTTCTCCCGTCCCGTCGCCCTGCCCTACGCCCTAGCCCGTCGCCCTACTCTAAGCCCTGGCCCGTCGCCCTACCCTAAGCCCTGCCCCGTCGCCCTTCCCTCCGCCCTGGCCCGTCGACCTACCCTACGCCCTGGCCGGTTGCCCTACCCTACGCCCTGGCCCGACGCCCTAGCCCGCTCTTCCGCTGCGACTGAGTCCTCTTCCTCCCGGTTGTTACTCGCCTGTTCGTTTGCGTTAGTTCTCACTATGGCGACTCCGCGAGTTCTTCGTTTCGACGCTGACGGTAGACCCCTTGACTTTTCCGTCTGGCTTCTTCGCGCTCGTCGTCTGTTAGAGAGTCAGGTCCAGGGGGGCGAGACCCTCTGGTCGCACGCTACGGGTGACCTCCCCGAGCCCCCCGAGCCTACAGCTTTAGGCCCTGCCCCTGACGACACTACTACGGCTCGCTTTGCCCGTCAGCGCGCTGACCGGACGGCTTGGACGTCGCGTGATGCTGCGGCCTGCATCGCACTCAGCAGCCTCCTCCCTGAGTCTGAGGAGGTCCACTTTACTCAGGTTCGCACCGCTGCTGCGTACCTCACTGCAATTAAGGCCCGCTACTCTACTCCCGCTACTGTCTCTCTTGGCCGTCTTTTCCTCCCGTTCCTGTTTCCTGATCTCGCCTCGTTTGAGCGCTCTGCTGACTTGATCGCTCACCTCCGCTCGCTCGACGCTAGTTACCGCGCTGCTTGCACTGAGGCACAGCTTGCACTGCTTCCTCCCCCCATGGCGATTACTGTCTATTTCATCGCCACTAGCCTCCCTGACCGCCTTGCCTCCGTTCGTGACGCGCTTCTGCTGAAGCACCCTAGTGAGCTGACTATCGAGGTCCTTGAGTCTGCACTCAAGGACGTCGAGAGCAACCTTCGTTCGGTAGCTGCCGCCTCTGGTACGTTGTCCCCCCCACTCTTCCACGGGTGCACAGTCCCGCAGTTACCCACCTTCACTACCTCTCTTGCCACTGCCGCTACTGACGCGACTGCGGCTGCTGTTACAACTGCGTCGCGGTCCCGCGGCAGGGGGGGCAAGAAAGGTGGTTCTGGTGGAGGTGGAGGCGGAGGTAGCGGAGGTAGTGGGGGTGCTGTTGGGACTGGCGGTGGTGGGAGTGCAGCGTCTGGAGAGACCCCTCGTGCAGCGGCTGGTGACTCCACTGCACCTGCTGGTGGCGGCGACCCCCGAGCTCGTCAGTCGCCTCCTGTACTGCCGGCCCCGCTAGGTGGAGCAGCGGCGTGGTACCAGGCTCAGTGGCAGCAGCACCTTCAGCAGCAGCAGCAGCCCCTTTCCTCCCAGCAGCCTCAGCAGCAGCAACGTCAGCAGCTGGCTCCGGGGTCGGGACTGCGTCAGCCCCAGCGCGGTACTGCTTACCCTCCCTGCCCCTACCAGGTTCTGACAGGTCCTCGTCGGGGCCACCCTTGTGGCCGCTTTCACCCCCCTGGTCAGTGCTTTGCTCAGCTCACTGACACGGTCCGGTTGGCCTACGGGGTTGGCGGTCCTGCTCCTGACTGGCTTCCTCTGGTTCAGCGCTACGGCTCCGCTCTGTGGGGCATTTCTGGTGAGCAGTTAGTTGATCTGATTAGTGCTCCTCATGCTATGTATGCTGTTGTTGACTCTAGTGTTTCTGACTCTGTTTACTCTGGTGTTGTTAGCTTAGGTGCTAGTCTTGCTCAGTTGCCTGTTGCTAGTGTAGGTTCTTGTGTAGACTCTAGACCAGCGACTACCTCAGAGGACGCTTCGCTGTCGTTCACGCTGGACTCTGGAGCCTCCCACTGCTTCTTCCGGGACAGCACGACACTTAACACCACTTCCTGCGCCTGTTTCTGTAGCGTTGGCTGATCCCACTACGGGACCAGTCACTGCACGTCACACTACCACTTTACCGTGTCCTGCTGCTCCCTCCGGGTCTCTCACTGGGTTTCACGTCCCCTCGTTCTCCCGGAACTTGGTGGGCGTGCGACCCCTTGTGAGTCAGCACGTGGGTGTGTGGTTTGAGCCTTCTGGAGAGACTGCGGTGTGTGTTGACGGAGACTCTTACCAGCCTCTTGCTACCTTTACTGCTGAGCCGGGCTCGGGTCTCTACACTCTTCACACTGGCCCGCGTGCGCCGCAGCAGCAGCCGCAGCAGCAGCAGCAGTCGCAGTCGCAGCAGCAGCAGCAGCAGCAGCAGCACCAGCGGCCGCACCAGCAGCCCCCCCTACTGCCACTGCCCCCGGTCCCCTCCCCCGTTCGGGTCCCCGCGTCTCACCAGGTTGCTTCGTCCCCCCAGGTGTCTGTGTCGTGTCTGGTTCCTACGTCTGGTCCAGTCGCTGCGTCGTGCTCCTGCCGGTCGCTTGCCCACCCCACCGTTCTGTGGCACCACCGGATGGGGCACCCGTCCCTTCCTCGTCTGCGCGCTATGTCCAGTCAGCGTCTTGTCCTAGGCCTCCCACGTGTCTTGCCGTCGCTGCCGCCTTCGCTTGCGCCGCCGTGTGGTCCCTGCGTCGAGGGTCGGCTGCGCGCCACCCCTCACTCCTCCTCCCTTCGTCCGGCCACCGAGCCTTTTGAGACGCTTCACTTGGACGTCTGGGGCCCCGCCCCTCGTCTAGGCCCTGAGCGTGAGCGTTACTTTCTGGTGGTCGTTGACGACTTCTCCCGCTACACCACAGTGTTCCCTCTGGCGAAGAAGTCTGAGGTGACTTCTACGCTGATCAGGTGGTTGCTCACCACCGCGGACACTCGTGGTCGTCGTGTCAGCTGTCTCCACTCCGACCGTGGGGGTGAGTTTCGCTCCGGCATTCTCGCTGGATTCTGTCGCGAGCAGGGCATTCGTCAGTCCTGGACGCTTCCAGAGTCCCCACAGCAGAATGGGGTTGCTGAGCGCCGCATAGGCCTGGTCATGGAGATCGCCCGCACCTCCCTGACTCACGCCTGTGCCCCCCATTTTCTGTGGCCCTACGCGGTCAGGTACGCCGCGCACCAGCTGAACCTCTGGCCACGTGTCTCTCGACCAGAGGTTTCACCGACCAGTCTTTGGACAGGGTCCCCTGGTGTTGCGTCGCGGTTTCGCGTCTGGGGGTGCTTGGCTCTTGTCCGCGACACCTCCGCGGACAAGCTCTCGCCTCGTGCCGTCCCCTGTGTCTTCCTTGGTTTTCCTGAGGACTCCTCTGACTTCACCTTTTACCACCCTCCCTCTCACCGGTTCTTTGACTCCCGTGACGTCCGTTTCGAGGAGTCCACTCCGTACTACGTCAGGTACCCCAGTCGAGGTCTCCCGGTTCCTCCTCCCCCCCTCTTCCTGACTGCAGCCCCCCCTCCTGCTCCCCCGGTACAGCCTCCCCCCCCTGGTCCAGCCCCATCAGGTGTGTCCCAGGCTACCCCTCCTCCTTCGGTAGCCCCTCCGGTACAGCCTCCCTCCCCACAGTCCTCCTCGCAGCGTGCCGCTGGTGCTAGCTCTCGAGAGGTTGGTGCTGCGCCTGTTCCTGTACCGGTTTCTGGTTCTGGGGGTGCTGGAGTTGGAGCTGGAGTTGGCACTGGAGTTTCTGGTTCTGGGGGTGCTGGAGTTGGAGCTGGAGTTGGAGCTGGAGTTTCTGGTTCTGGGGTTGGAGCTGTCCCGGTGGGTGCAGAGGACTCTTGTCGTCCGGGAGCTGGTGCTGGTCGCGCGGCCACTGGGGGTGCTGCGTCTGGGGGTGAGGGTGCGCCTCCTTCGGGTTCAGGTGAGCCTGGGTCTGGAGCTGGTGTTAGTGCTGCCTCTGGGGTTGGTGCGCCTAGTTCTTCGGGGGTGGACTCT